AGACACCAGTACCACCACATTAAGCTGTGTGTGTGCATCTGCTAGTGAGTGAGCTTGCTTGCATGCGTGTGCCTGCTAGTGAGTGAGCTTGTGTTTTTATGTCAATGAGCTGATGTATATCAGTAAGATTGTTTGTCTATGAGGCTGTGTATCAATGAGCTTGTGTGTGTCACTGAAATGTCAGTGAAATTGCCTGTGTCTGCATGTGCGTATGCTTACTGTATAATTAAACGTTTTACCCTGAAAGGACCAATATTTTATATTAGAAATAGCAATATATATATATATATATATATATATATATTACTCAATCATCTGTCCTGGCAAGACATAGCCTTACATATTACACGCGTCAATATATGGCACAGTGACTTATGGGGCTGGCACAAATTTTTTTTCCAGGGCTGCTTTGTATCCCCAGTCCGGCCCTGCCGGTATCCCGGTGGGCCAGTCCGGCCCTGGCTGGGTACCTCCTCCAAGGGCCGCTTCCTAGCTGGAACATGGGAAAACCTCAGCGCTTCTGCCCCAGTCACCATGGCTTGACTGGGGTCCTCCTGGAGCCTCTCTGTCCTTGAGCTGGACAGTGGACTAGCGGTATTCCCAGTCCTGCAAGCTCTAGTCCTTACAAGGACTTTCCCCACCGAATCCTCCACGAGCTTGAACAAGGTACTAAGCAGTGATTATAGCCCTTTCCCTCCCAGTAACTAGATCCATGCATCCAAACACAGCCTTTTTATAAACCGTCCCCAGCAGAGGGTCTCCATTGTCTTTACCACAAGCCCCTCCCAGGAATCTCTGGGCCTGGGAGATAATTGGGTTAAAGACCGGTAAGCTAATTATCTCCCAGGAACAGAGAGGCAAACATAAAAATATAAAACATAAAAATACTCAAAAACATAATAAATTCATAAAATAACCCCACAAAGAATACATCATTAAATAGCCCTGATGTGAGCGCTCAGATCCATGCAGTATAGGGGAAATGCCACCGTGTTAAAGTTCCGCACACGTGGTCCTATGCCCAAAATAGTTCCAGGGCGTTTGGTGCTTTGGCCAGTCAACTTTCGGGAGATCTTGCGGCCGCCATATGGGATGCTCTGGCTTGCTCTTAGGCATCTTCCCTCCAAAAAGCGCTCTCCTGGCGGATTTCAAAGTGGTTCAAAACCACAAACCAAGTTGTCCGGGAACCGCACGGTCACCTCATGCTGAAAACAGTTTCATAACATTCACAGCTAAGTCCCGTTGAGGTAACCGGGAACCCACAAAGTCCTCATGCCAAATTTAGTTCTATAGGGGTCGCGGCTAAGTAACGCTGGGATTATTTCAGGGTTTGGTTCATGCGAACTGCTGCCAGAGAGCCAGGATTCGGTTCCATTCGCATGAAGTAAAAGTGCCGAACCAGGGGCACCCAGGGAAAGCTGTTAATGACAGCTGGGCAGAGCAACTCCCAAACGGACCATTTTCGGTGGGCAGGAAGCCGGCTTTTACACTCTTCCAGGAGTCTGTGACAAACGTACGTGGGGAGGAGTGTTTGTCATAAACTTCAATGAGTCAATTAGTAAATGCATCTCTATAAGTAGATGCTGATTGCTGCAGTGTGCCGTTTTGCCGTACATGCACAATAGCCTCCCAATGCCTTCCTATAGAAAAAGCATTGTATAGGCTGAAATCATCAGGTTTGATAAACTCAGCCAAGGGAGCAGAGCCAGCCCAAGGAGGTCTGGGCGGTGATGGAAAAATGTGAGTAAATCACAGGGGCTGAGGATCTAAACGACGATCTTAGCGGTATAGTGTCAGGAATATATGTTTGTATTCCTGACACTATAGTGTTCCTTTAATATATCTATAAAACAACAAATAAATGGATACATATGGAAAAAGGACCAAAAACTCCTAAAACATATTGTTCGATGGAGAGCTCTTTCTTACCACAAGAAAGAACAGGAACTCTTACTATATAGTTCACCACTCTCTGCTTTAAAGGAACACTATAGTCACCTAAATTACTTTAGCTAAATGAAGCAGTTTTAGTGCATAGATCATTCCCCTGCAATTTCACTGCTCAATTCACTGTCATTTAGGAGTTAAATCACTTTGTTTCTGTTTACGCAGCCCTAGCCACACCTCCCCTGGCTATAATTGGCAGAGCCTGCATGAAAAAAAAACTGGTTTCACTTTCAAACAGATGTAATTTACCTTAAAAAATTGTATCTCAATCTCTAAATTGAACTTTAATCACATACAGGATGCTCTTGCAGGGTCTAGCAAGCTATTAACATAGCAGGGGATAAGAAAATCTTAATTAAACAGAACTTGCAATAAAGAAAGCCTAAATAGGGCTCTCTTTACAGGAAGTGTTTATGGAAGGCTGTGCAAGTCACATGCAGGGAGGTGTGACTAGGGTTCATAAACAAAGGGATTTAACTCCTAAATGGCAGAGGATTGAGCAGTGAGGCTGCAGGGGCATGTTCTATACACCAAAACTGCTTCATTAAGCTAAAGTTGTTCAGGTGACTATAGTGTCCCTTTAATGCTTTCGCTAAAGAAAAACTGATTGATCAACGGCTTTCGTGTTTCTTACACAACAATTACCAGATCTAAAATACGTCTGTGTTAGCCAATTCACTTATTAATACTTAGAAAATATAACAAACCTCAATAACCAGAATAACCATAAGCCCAAAAAAAACAGCAAGACAGTGACACACTTATGCAATTACTGCTCAGGAACTATATCAATGCCACTGCCAATAACACTGTGTCAACAGGTTATAAATATCACTTTGCTAGAAGTATAGGCTGAAAACCCCATCACTGCATTCTCAGTGTGTATAAATAGGGGGTGCATTTTCACTCGTCATTGGCTAGTGGACAAGTAGAAATTTTCAGCCCTGTATATAAACCCAAATCTTGAGCTAGGGCCACATAAAAACTTTACAAACCATGGTAAAAAGGAACTTATTCATGGAGGTCTAATCTTAAATGGAGGCAACTGTGAAAAATGGATCCCAACATGAATGTATATTGACAAGAACAAATTTTTACTTCACGTCAATATCCGTTTAACACATTAAGTAAAGCATTAATTGTAAAATTCATATGCATGACAAAGTCAACAGTTTTTAATTGTATAATTTAAACAGAAAGCACCTAATAAATCTAATAATTACAATTTGACTACAACTACTTAAAGGAACAAACATATATTCCTGACACTATAATGTAAAGCTAACTATTAGGACCCCGGCCCCCCTCTAATCGCATGGGAAAGGTTAGTTTACTTTCCCTTTCTCCCATGCTGCCCTGGTCTCGATGTGGCTGGCATTACCTCCCTTCCATTATAGTACTGTAATGATATGCTTTTACGGATTTTATAGAGGGACTGGTGATGCTTTTTCCCAGTATTAGAGCTATCTCCCTCATTTCTATTTGTCTTATTCACTATATTTTAGTCTGGACATCCCCTCTTTTGGAAAATTCAGACTATATCTTTCTTTTGCCTCCCTTCCCGCTTACATGGTGATGATCTCAGCAAATTCAATGATTTCCTGTAGGGAAGCATTGGGAAGCTATTATGTAAACTGCCACATTGCGTCAATAAGCATCTCCTTATAGAGAACATTCAGCGTCTCCATGCAGGGTGTGGAGAAGCTTGACTGCTGACCCATCTCCCACCTCTCATTGGCCCTAACAAAAACACAGGAGCCTGGAATAGTGGTTAAGGGCCACAGCTTTATTAACTTTTTTAACAGACCAGCATTCTGTTCAACAACTTGCCAACCTGCCAACTGTTTGGTGACTTCACCATCAGACAGATCCCAATTCCATGTCCAGAGGTCGTATCAGTCTGCCTACCACCATCAGCCCTCAGCAGGCTGCGACACCCCAAGTCCACTGCATTTCACATCAATTTTCAACTGTGCTGGCCAGGAACACCACTGCGACAAAACAAGGAAGAGAAACAACACACCAAAAACGCGAACAGCAAAATATACAGAACACCTCCTCAGGTGGGAGGTAAAGAGCTAGGGTCATCCACACTTCTTCTCGTCGACTGATGAGTTCCCTCCCTGTCTTTCCATTTATTCCTCCTAACTTGCCACAATGTATCCTCTGTTAGCCAACCCCTTACTTTGGGTAGCAGACATGTCTTCTATGCTTTTCAGTCCAGGTAAGTACTTGACTGCTGACCCATCTCCCACCTCTCGTTATCTCCAACAAAAGCACAGGAGCCTGGAATAGTTGTTAAGGGTAATGTCCGTCCAACAATCTGTCAAGCTGTTGTGGACTTCACCAACAAACAGATCCCACTTCCAAGTCCAGAGTTCATACCAGCCTGCCTACAGCCATCAGCAGGCTGCCACTCCCCAAGCCAACGTGGCATTTCACTTCAATTTTCAATTGAACATCACCACCATGATGGCGAACCTGACCGGCGTCCCCGGTCAGCATCATGACCCCCGACCTCCACATTGTGTATCCGCTGCCAAAGGCCAGGCTGCGACAATGAGCATCTCCTCATAGAGATGCATTGAATTAATGCATCTCTGTGGAGAATGTTCAGCGTCTCCATGCAGGGCGTGGAAACGCTGAATGACAATGTTGCACATTGTGCAACACTAAACAAGAAAACAACTCTAGTGGACCTCTCAGTGATTGCCATTAGAGGTGTTCCTGGGCAGCAATGTAAACAATGCCTTTCCTCTGAAAAGGCAGTGTTCACCTTATATGTATATACTTGATATCTATACATATAAAAACAAAATAAATGTAATCATGTCTAATTGTTATTCATTCTTCAAGCTGTTCTCAGATGGTGGTTTTGTTACAATATAACAAAGTCATTTGTTATAAAACACAATTTTAAAATAACTATCAACCTGCCTTGCCCAGATGTACTTTCTGGACTACTTTTTGAGCCCCTTTTCTTCTGTGCTTTGATAAACTTTATTTTTTTAATTATATTTCTTTATTTTTGTAGTGCTTTGCAGATTTCACAAATGAACATAGACATTGCAAAAGGTATGAACAGAACAGGACATCCAGTAAAGAGCATCACATGTCTGATTCACAGTACTATTATAAAGTATTGTGGTCTTACCAAGAATTAATCTTATGTGTCAGTTACAAGTTACGACATACGACGTATGGATACAGATTAACATACTGAATTTTTGTTGAATTATTGGGTCACAAGCTTAGCCAAGATAGGTATTAAGATAAATTACCAGCAGGTAGATTGTAGCATACTGGGCTGTCGTCAGCAGTAGGCAGAAAAATAAAACTAAAATTTACTTTAACATTAACTGAGGAGATGCACGCTTATTAGTATATGCAGCCAAAGTAACATCTGATGAGGCTATCAGTGGTAGATTACACGGTGTGTGCCTTAAATGTTATATGTCGTGAGAAGCTGGGGTTACCGCCGCCTCTGGCAATGTGGAAGATCAGAAAAAGCAGCTTATTCCTAGGCATGGGGAGAGCCCCTGTAGGGCACCTCAAGTGACCCACTGAGTCCCATAATCCCGCCATAGGGCACAGTGTCTACCGACCGCTGTTAACAGGCTTCCCGGTTGTTGGATGGGTATGGGCGTGGTACTTTCCAAGCCATAGTGTCCAGGTGCGGGCTGCAGTATAGTGAAGTTAATGCATGGGGATGACTTCCCTGAGTGCTCTTCCAGTGTTGGTCGCTGGCGTCAGTGTGAGAAACGTTGGTAAAGCACTGAACCCGCGTCAAAGGATTGCCGCTGTAGTGTGGGTAGGTATAATAAATGCAGGCTGCTGTGGTTCTTGCCTGTCTTCGAGCTTATTCCAGGAGTGTTCACAGAAGAGGTCGAAAGCCATCTGAGAATCCCCGCGATGTCAGCTCGGGCTGTGTGGTTCACGAGCACTGCTTCAGCGCGCCACAGAGGGTTCATCCTTTTTGTCCAGTGGAATTGCTGCGCCGCCGTTGGCCATTTTAGTGAGGCCGCGTGGGGGCCTTTTACTTTCGGCGTTCAGCCGCCCAGGTGAGATGCAAAGGCGATAGTTTGCCTGGTGGGGACAGGGATAACCCTCGCCGGTCCAAACAGGGGGTGAACGGGGCCAGGAGGGCATCAGGTATGCTGTTGTTTTGTATTAGCCAGGGCGGAAAGCGAGGCAGCGGCCGTCTGCCCCACTCCCCTCCCGGGTAGGCCTCAGTCCTCAAGCCCCAGGACCCAGAATCACCCAATATCAAGTGCTCCAGCAGCACTGGGACACTCCAGGACCTTGTACCACGGACTTTCAGTGTGTTACAAGCAGAGTAAGGTGGTATTTACCCAAAATTAGCTGGATTCCTCAGGAGCCATAGTGACTTGCAGCCTGCTAGCATGGCCGCCCGGCCCCGCCCCTCAATAAACTTTATTTTCTAACAAAATGTTATTTTTTTAAAGGACCACTATAGTGCCTTGAGGGTGCCCCCACCCTCAGGATCCCACTCCCGTGGCGCTGAAGGGGGAGGAAGGGGTTAATCCCTTACCTTTTTTCCAGCGCCGGGCTCCCTCGGCCCTGGGACTCTCCTCCCTCTTCTGATGTCATCGGCTGAATGCGCATGCAATGCAAAGCATTCTCTCTCCTATGTACGGTAGCGTCTTCTCACTGTGAAAATCACTGTGAGAAGCGTGGAAGCGCCTCTAGCGGCTGTCAGTGAGACAGCCACTAGAGGCTGGATTAACCCATTTGTAAACATAGCAGTTTCTCTGAAACTGCTTTGTTTACAGCAGAAAGGGTTTATCCTAGATGGACCTGGCACCCAGACCACTTCATTAAGCTGAAGTGGTCTGGGTGCCTATAGTGGTCCTTTAATCCTGTGTCTTTGGGCCCTGCCTTCGTTGTTAGATCATTCGGTGTTGATGCACAATGCTTTCCAGGGCAGTTTCTGCAATAGATATGCAAATTTGAAGGATAGTTTTGGTATAATTGAGTTTTGTATATTTCTTTGTCTATTTTTATTTGTAGTTGTTTTCTATTATATCCTTTTTTAAATTATGCATATATTTAGTGATGTAAAAAATTGCACATGATTTGGTAAAACTAACAAACAATAACAAACAATGTTCATAAACATTTAAGGTGGAAAAAGAGCAAAAACACAGAAAGGGGAAATGAAATTGACAAAATATCGTAAACTATGTCAAAACAACTCTTGTGACACATAGAGAGATTCTGAATCCTCGCACAATGGATGTAGTAGCTAATCTTCTACGTGACGTGAACAAATAGGCCCTTGAAGTTCTAATTCAGGTTTGTACAGGTTCAATTTATACATTGTGCTTGTGAAATCAGCAGCAAATGTATAAATTAAAATGTATATTTATCTGAAAATTACTTCTTTTCACACCCAGCATGCCATCCTTCAGTTGGAGTCTTCAGCTGCTGTGAACAACCAGGGCCGCGATTTAATATTATTCAATACTTTTTTCTAAATAATTTAATGTATTTGGATAAACTTAAAAAAATATTTCTTTTAATTATCAAAAAAATATATCATACACAAAAATATACCTATTTTTTTAAAATATTACAAAATTTACTTTTTTTCATAACAGTAAATCATTTCAAAAGTTATCTAAAAGAATTAAATAATTTTAAAAAGCTTATTCAACAATATTGAATGGAGGCCTAAGTTAGTAGACTTTGCTGCTATGCTAAAGGCATGCCAACCGCACAGAGGTAAAGGCAAACTTTGGCATATTATTATTAGTATTATTAATATTATTCTTTATTAATTACAGTAGGACTAGTTTGATGAACAGGCACAAGAGGTGGTAAGGCCTGCCAACTAAACAAAGTGAGGTATAACTATCCAACACAAAGCCTGATTGTTAAGTATATTAACAATATAAAATCTTACATTATACATTGTAATCAGAGAGGAAGGAAAAGGTGGGATATTGAAGAAAAGTGTAGATGAGACGGGGTAGATAAAATAACTAGTTAATTGATAAGCTTTGCCAGAAATTGGAATTTTAAGGAATATGTATGATGACTATGATAAAGACTAATTGGTTGGGAAACCAATAACCCTAAATAAGGCTTGTAGGTGAGAGTGGGAGATGTGAATGAGAACAGAGGACAGATGTAGTTTGTTGACAGAGCAGAGGGGTAAGGAATGGGCCATATTTGCATTCTGGAATATAAGTGGGCAGTCAGGCACAGGTAAGTAGTAAAGACAACGATGTAGTTGATGTAGCAAGTATGCCTATGAAGAAGCATGTTAGTTGCATCTGGAGTTAGAAAGGGTGAGTATAAGCTTTGTATTTGAGATGACGGTAGGGGAAAGTGAAGACTGGCTGAATGGGATGAGCAAAAGAAAGAAGTCAGAGTCAAAACAGAATGCCAAGGCTGGCATCCTGTGTGGTAGAGTTAGCAACTAAAAAGATCTGGGTATCATGAGCATTTAGATGGTACTAGAATTAAAAGGAACCAATGAGACCACAAATGCCTCGTTTCCACTGAGCGGAACGATTCGGGTCGGTACAGTTTGGAAGGGTTAGAATGGTCCAGCCTATTCAGGTAAGCGTTTCCACTGCAAGTCGGACCGCCAGGGGCCATGCAGGGTTTAGACCAAATGCCTAGCGTGTCATAGCGTGTCATTTGTCGTGAGCATTGACGTTTTCATGTCAGCCAATCAATGGATTCCATAGTGTGATGCTAGTAGCTCCGCCCTTACTGTACCGTACCATTTCTTATGGACCTTCATCTGCAGGGGGACCAGGAATGGTGTGGTGCGGTTCGGTTTGGTTGTATGGGCCACTTTCATAATGGAAACACTCATAATAGCGTATCATACGCTAAAGTGGTCATGGTGCTTGGAGTAACCTTTAAATGAGGTGGCCATTTAGCTATCTGGTGGCCATGATTCCAGGCCATTAGGGGAGATGGAAAAGCTCTTTGGGGATGTCCAAGAGAGAATTTTTAGAAGTAGCGTAGGCACCTGTGGTGCCCCATTTGGACATGTGTCTGTGAGCAGGTGTCTTCTCTGCCTAATTATAAAATTGGTCCTGGCAACGACAGAGAGGTAGCAGGGAGGACGATGTGCCAGTAATGGAAAAAATGCGGAGGTGAGAGAAGAACCATGAAAGAGCATGAAGACAAAGGTTACAGAGGATGTTTAGAAGCTTTCACATACATAGTCCAGATGCTGCATCCCTCATCCAGTAATATTAATCTCACATACCACAAAAAATCTAGAATACCAAAAAACACACATAGATCAGTGTTAAAATGGCTAGATTAATTAAAAATAAACTCGATAAATCACTGGGGTATTCACCAGATAACACATAGTGTAATATCAACAGTTATTCATGTATCTTAACAGTATTATTATTCGTATTTAAATATGCCAGCATTTTACACAGTGATTTACAATTAATAAACAGGGATATTAGATAACAAGCAATAAACATACACAATAATGTTGTCAGACACAAAAGATGAGGAAGGTCCTTCTCAAATGAGTTTAGAATCTAGGAGAAAGAGGTAAAGGAACAAAAGAGGAGAAACAAGATGTTGGGGGGGATGGTTGAAGAATATAATACAGAATTAAGCTAGTAAAAGTCGTGTATGGATGAACCAAGTGAGATAGTGAATTTGACTATGAACTATGCACAGGGCTCAAAATTTCAACTAACCACTAGAAATTGGAGAGTGAAATGTAGCCCTGGCGAGCAGAAATTGACCCCTGGTGAGAGGGCCATGGACCCTTTACTGTAGCAATGATACATGACAATAAAACATTTGGTGGTAATATCAGGATTCTGCACTGGTCATAAAGATGCAGTACATACCCACACTGTTATGTTTTATAGTATGAGTGTGTATATGTCATAGGTCTGGTACTAGCAGTCTCCCAGTTCACTCACCGGGGTTCACGTCTCTGGCCAAAGGTCCTCATCAAAGTCCCAGAATGAAGGACTGAAAACAATGCATTTCTATTATTGTGATGCTGTCTAAAAAAAGTAGCTTTTTGATTTCTTTGAAAATATCCAATGTGTGCTCTCTACATACTACATAAAAGATCACATATTTACATTGGACCTGTTTAAGAATTACATGGTTGAATAGTCTGAGTTGGTTCGAAAGGACCCTAAAGGATCGTAAAGGCATGTATATTGGTCTGGTTATGTTGCTAATGACTAAAAAGATTTGTCTGCACTATATCACAACTTAGCACTTCTCCATAGTCAAGAATATCATGTTTCTTCAACTTCTCTTTCTAGAAAACGAGCTATCATCAGTCTCTAACATAATGTGGGTCCTCACACAAAGCACTTTGGGTTGACAGGAACACTCCAAGCACCATAACCACTATATCTTGCTACCCCATTGTAAAACCATTGCAGGCCCTGCAGAGCTTAGCTAAGGAACTTCTGGCTCTCCAGCATTAGTAGTGGAGGTGAGGAGTGATGCCTGAGAGACCCTAGGTAAGAATTCAAACCGTCCAGGAATGGTTTGACTTCTTATAATGGGGAGTGCCAGGGCTCCCCTGGCACCATAACCACTACTGTGTGCTTGGAGTGTTCCTTTACCTCTGCCAGAGATCTCATAATCTAAACGCACTTGGATACAGCGCTCCCTGTGACGCATCAAACACACCCCATTAGTACCATTGTATGATATATATAATACCAAAAAACATCATAGAATTTTGTCAATGTAACATGTGCCTTTGAAATGCCCAAATTGTACTATAGCCTGTTGTTTGATATTATTGGCCCACACATTCATTAGGAAGAACTGTTAATAACTGTCGCTGATGCTAGGCTGTTGTATACACAAATTACTATAATTTTTGGGTCCAGTACATGTCATTAAATCAAGGATTTAAGAGATCTTTATTCTAATTCATTCTAATTCTAAAAAGAGATCTTCATTCTAATGATTATTTAGGGTAATCAGCGAAATAACCCAAAGTGTCATTTTTGAGCAGTCACTGAGACTGTACTCCCACTTCTACTGCATCAAAGTTGGGCAAGCCCCCTGTGTAACTATATTTATTGCCAGCGTACCAACTTGTGACTGAGAAGGGGGAGAAATACCTATTTTCAAATAGTTTTTTTCTTTTAATCTATAGATTTGCTAGAAAAACTGCTAAAATACTGTAGAGATGAAATGTTATGCTCTTTCAAATGAGCATACATTGTAGGCAATATGACAGGTCCTTTTAAAAGGATAAGAGGTCATCAGTGCTGTAGCAATTTAGATTTTGAGAATCCTTTGAATGTTGATGCTGCTAGTACCATAAGGTACTAGAGATTAAGCTTTGTCTCACAATAATTCTAGTATTTTCTGAAAAATTTGCATTCAGCGACAGGTATTGTGGTATGCAACACAAATCATATTTGCGTGGGCAAAGATGTAAGGCACATATGGGACTGATGTAGGGGCATATTTATTCAGCCCCTGAAAACTGAAAAAGCTCTAAATAACTTTTTATCTATACATCTGCAAGTTTGAATAGCGTAATGTATAGATGACTTTATAAATGCATTAAATAATGACACTCAGATTTATAGCAGACAGAATTTCTTGTGTCTTAGATTTTTCTGAAAACCTCTGATAGTATCCTGTTTCCTGAAGTAGAACAAATTCCTAGCATTGTAATGATTGTATGTGTAATCAGACAAAGATTTAAAGGATTACAATGATTATTATAAGTAGATCAAGCCGTCTCCTGTATCAGTTAGTGGAGGCAAGACCTAAGGAAACTTTGAGATTATGTTGCGCAAACAGGCATTCAGACATTTCCTCCTTATGAAACATCTGTTTTGCAATATTAACTCAGCAAAATGGTAACTTGTGAGGCTCCTCATTCTAGAGTGTAAAGTATATGCCCCATGTGCCTCAATTCTGTTTAGGACATACTATAAAGTTTGACTGCTCTAGAAAAATTATAGAAATGATGGACAATGAAATTAGAGAAGAAACAAAAAAACAAAACAAAAATAGTGTAATATTGTTTGAACATTTCTGCACTTTGACATTTTTGCTGGCCAAAAATGTGTTCCTCTCTTCTTTCCATCCACAATTTATAGTTATAGAATAGGGCAAAAAAGGAAAAAAAAGTAGGTGTAATATGATAAAAATTAATTGCAAAAAAAAAAAAAAAAATTAATTGAAGGACCACCATAGTGCCAGTAAAACAAACTTGTTTTCCTGGCACTATAGGGTCATTAGATCCCCCACCCCCCAACCTCGTGGCCCCCCTCCTGCTGAGCTGAAGTGGTTAAAACCCCTTCAGCCACTTACCTTTCTCTAGCGCCGGGTTCCCTCCCTCTCCTCCTCCTGCCAATGTCAGATCCGAATGCACATTCTCGGCAAGTGCCGTGCGCGCATTCAAAGCGCCCATAGGAAAGCATTACTCAAGCATTACTCAATGCTTTCCTATGGATGTCAGCATCTTCTCTGTGATTTTCACAGTGAGAATCGCGGAAGCTGCCTCTAGCGGCTGTCAATGAGACAGCCACTAGAGGCTGGATTAACTCTCAGTGAAACATAGCAGTTTCTCTGAAACTGCTATGTTTTCAGCTGCAGGGTTAACACTAGAGGGACCTAGCACCCAGACCACTTCATTGAGCTGAAGTGGTCTGGGTGCCTATAGTGGTCTTTTATACACTAGATTAGGAAGTAGTATTTTAAAGGAACAATCCAGACTTGTAGTGAACTTTAGCTCACTGAAGTGCTTTAGTGGTTAACAGAAGGTCCCATTTGACTTATTTTAGGAAAGTGACAGACAAGCTCTTCCTTATACTAAATTATGTTATAGCTTAACCAAAGGCTTGGTGACAAACAATCTGACACTTTACGTTCTAACGTTGTTTCCTATTTTGTTCTACCAAAACAATTTGAAGCATTCGTTTGTCAGTTAAAAAATGTTGCTAATGACATTAATGTTGTTAAAGGTTAGAAATATATCAGTCCTATACCTACTTTATGTATATATGACTCCCCACATCACAATCCAACACAAGATGGCGCATAACTACACCCTGTTCCAAATTATTATGCAAATTCTATTTAAGTGTCACAAAGATTCAATATTTTGTTTTTCAGTTTAACTCATGGATGGCATTGTGTCTCAGGGCTCTTTTGATCACTGAAAACAATCTCGGACACCTGTGATAATTAGATTGCCAGGTGAGCCCAAATTAAGGAAAATCTACTAAAGGAGGTGTTCCACATTATTAAGCAGAGCGCCATTTTCATGCAATATGGGGAAGAAAAAGGATCTCTCTGTTGCTGAAAAGAGTGAAATAGTTCAATGTCTTGGACGAGGTATGAAAACATTAGATATTTCACGAAAACGTAAGCGTGATCATTGCACTATTAAGAGATTTGTGGTTGATTCAGAGCACAGACGGGTTCGTGCAGATAAAGGCACATTGAGAAAGATTTCTGCCAGATTAATGCATTGGATCAAGAGAGCAGCTGCTAAAATACCATTACATAGCAGCAAACAGATATTTGAAGCTGCTGGTGCCTCTGGAGTCCCATGGACATCAAGGTGTAGAGTCCTCCAGAGTCTTGCAACTGTGCATAAACCTTCTATTCGGCCACCACTAACCAATGCCCACAAGCAGAAACGGCTGCATTGGACAGAAAAATACATGAAGATTAATTTTCAAACAGTCCTGTTCACTGATGAGTGCCGTACAACCCTGGATGGTTCAGATGGATGGAGTAGTGGATGGTTGGTGGACGGCCACCCTGTTCCAACAAGGCTGCGATGTCAGCAAGGCAGTGGTGGAGTCATGTTTTGGGCCGGAATCATGGGAAGAGAGCTGGTCGGCCCCTTTAGGGCCCCCAAAGGTGTAAAGATGACCTCTGCAAAGTATGTGGAGTTTCTGACTGACCACTTTCTTCCCTAGTACAGAAGGAAGAACTGTTCTTTCTGTAATAAAATCATCTTCATGCATGACAATGCATCATCTCATGCTGCAAAGAATACCTCTGCATCAATAGCTGCTATGGGGATAAAAGGAGAGAAACTCATGGTGTGGCCTCCATCCTCCCCTGACCTCAATCCTATTGAGAACCTTTGGAACATCCTCAAGCAAAAGATCTATGAGGGTTGGAGGCAGTTTACATCCAAATAGCAGCTCTGGGAGGCTATTCTGACATCTTGCAAACAAATTCAAGCAGAAACTGTCCAAAAACTCACAAGTTCAATGGATGCAAGACTTGTGAAGCTGCTATCAAATAAGGGGTCCTATGTTAAAATGTAACGTGACCTGTTAAAATGTTTAAAAAGTTAAAATGTTGTTATAAGTTTGATTGAAATAGCTTTTGATTTCAGTAAATATGCTGCAAACACAACAAATGACAATGTTCAGTTCTTTACAACCTATAAAGTGTTTTGAAACTTACTGTGAGTAATAATTTGGAACAGTGCATTGTAAGTTTTTTATGTTTAAAAAAAATACTGTTATCATTTGGAGGTTTGTCTGTTGTGTACATCAATTATTTCGGCAAATGAGAAAAATATAATTTGCATAATAATTTGGAACAGGGTGTATCTACGTGTTCCAAATGATCTTATCATTTTTCTTTGTTTGCACTGTGTATTCAAAGGCTGTCTGTCCCCTACTCTCCCCTCCTCCCCTGCAAAATGAATATTTCATAAAGATAAAATATTTCTGAAGTACTCAGACTGACTGTGCTGAAATTTCACTGAAATTCCATCCTAGTCAAAATATATACTGAGAAAAAGTAGGGACTACTGTGTCTCAGTATTTTTCTACCCTGACACTTTGAGACACTGGACAGAGCTGCTGCCATCTAAAAGTGCTAATCTCCCAGATGTCCCAGATGTTGCATGCAAGAGAGTACAACAGTAAATTCGGCTCCTGGTGCTTCAAGATAGGACAGGACAGATAAAGATGGTGGCGCCCGCGAGAGGCAGATTTAGGTAAGTAAATCTCACCTTTCTCTATCCCTCCGGCCACCGGACCACCAGCGTCGATATCCCCATTGTGGGTATTTGAAAATTATACCATGACAGATAGGTGAACAAGTAGTTAAAAACTACTTAAAAAGGTACTTATGGTCGCAAAGTATTATAAGCCTGGTTGGAGAGTCGTTTTAGGTCTCTTTTGAAAATCTGCTGATTTGCTGTAATTATTATTTATATTTGTAGCTGTGCTCCCTGGGTTGATGGTCAGAACCATACCTCTCTTATATTTTTGTCAAGGTATATGTGTGATGAGGAAAGAAACTACCATGCAATGTTTAATGGAAGGTAAAAATATCCTGTGAGGTTAGATGGGCCATCATTGTGAATTGCTCAGTAAAGTGCAATCCTGATGTGTCATATATTACAAGGGCTCAACCAGATTTGACCAGTTTATTCGAACCATATATTAAAAACACACTCATTTTTACATATAATGCTGGCCACTAGCATTCTCAATTTTTATATATTTTGCATATATTATGTACATTATGATTATGGATCAGCATTATTAAATTGAAGCCAGTCTTTAGCAGGCCCAACTGTGTTGAAGACGTTCTCTTGTCTAGCTCTCTCAGGTTCTTGTCCCAAACCCCTCAGTCTCACTGCTCAATTTTCTGCAATTTATGAGTTAAATCACTTTTGTTTCTGTTTATGCCGCACTACCCGGACCTCTCCTGCATTAAAAAAATATATATTTATAATCAGATCTTACAGCACAGTATGTTTACTTTAGAAGTTATTATCTCCCATTCCTATAATCGAACTTTAGTCACACACATGTGGATGATGCACACTCTAACAGGCTATTAACGGAGCAGAAAATACGAAATTATAGATGAAACAATATACTTGTTGTGAGGTTTAAGCATAATGAATTAATACGCAGAGCTTTCTTAATAAAATTATTATATTATTTAATCGAAATAGAAGATTTTGATTAAATAACATGTTGCCTGTTATGACTCGTGGCTCATGAATAAAAAACTGACTGTTAAAGAAGCAACATAAATAAATGTAATTCCTTCTAACTGTTCACTTGTGTGTAGTGCTCACAGTCGTTCAAACATGAGTCATATGAAAACTGAATGATGCATACACTCTTCACTTGTGCAGAGCGAAAACAAATTGCTTCCTTTGAACCACCTCTGAAGAATTTTTTTATTTATTTTTTCCAGAACAGGAGAAATTAGAAAAATGGTGACCATGCCTACGCAGACATGCACAAACTGCTAAAATATAGTCTAGTCTAATGGCAATATCAGGCATTTTTGAGTTGCAAGAATTATATTATTATATATCTGGACTAAAAAAAAATAGGAAGTGAAAGAGCTTGCTGACTCACTTTCTTCCCCCAAACTGCCAACAGCCCCCCACCCCAAACCGCAATTACTTCACTCTGCTGTCTTGGGGTTATACTGCTGGAAGTAGTAGACAATGACAATGTAATTGGTTAAATGCACACATCTTCGTTGAATAGCATGACTTTCTTTCACAGCAAATCACATACCGCGTTCCTCTTGTCTGTCAGTCTTTTGGATTGGAGAGCCAATATCCAAATATCCTAGGATTACACTGGGAAGCAAGAATCCATTAGCAATTAGCAATTCATTAGCTTAGATAAGCATTGAGTAGGTCTTTCAGCTTTGACCATGTTAGCAGCACCGTAGATGACCATGAACCCAATGTGTAGATTGTTGTCCGCCTGATCATCCAACCAATTTGTCACCATATTCATATGCTTCCAAAAGTTTCTATAGTGAGCGATCTACTGTAATTTGGGTAACCCAATGTAGCATGCACTTAATCTAGACAGGGTGCTAAAATGGATACGCCTTGTTACCAAACCAAGAGATTATGTATACAGTATAACATAGCACACCAAATTATTCAAACGTTTAGATGTTATTTAATACATTTAGTACACAGACAGTTCAATCTTGATATAAGAAATAAAGTGCATAAATATAAAGTGCATAACATAACAGAAGTGCAAACACATAACCCAAAAAGTATTCTATACACTGTCCTGACCTAGGGCTGGAGACCAAAACACCCCAGCATTTTGGCAGTTGCCTTTTTCCAGGCTATCTGTATATGTGTCATTGTGCCTATCTGTGTGTCTGTGTATCTGCATGTGTCTTATTATGTGTTTCTGTATGTGTGTTAGTGTGTGTATCTGTGTGCCTGTGTATTTGTTTGTGTCTGTGTGTGTGTGTTTACCTGTATGAGTGTTAGTGTGTCTCTATGTATCTGCATTTGTGAATCTGTGTGTTTGTATGTATGTCAGTGTGTATCTGGGTGTCTGTCAGTGTGTGCACCCAGGTGTCTGTGTATCTGCGTATGTCTTTGTGTGTCTGTGTATCTGCATGTCTGTACCTGTGTATGTGTGTATCTGTATGTGTGTTTGTGCATGTATATATGCATGTGTGTCAGTGTGCGTATCGTTGTGTGTGTCTATGTGAGTCTGTATCGGGATGTGTGTCAGTGTGTCTGTATGTGCCTGTGTGTGGATGTGTATCAGTATGTGTGTGTGTCCATGTCTATGCGCATACATCTCAGCATCCAAATGCCAACATTACATGCAAATTCGCCCCTGCATTTAAATGGCAATACTACATAAAGACAGGCCCCTACATTCAAAGGCAATCACTACACACAAGTAAACCACTGCTTTCAAAGGGCTACAGTACATAAACACACACAACACTACAAATACAGATACTCCATACAATTACATGCTTGCATTCAAACACACAAATACTACCACAACCCTGCAAGGATAGGCAAATAGTAGATCCCCAGCTGGCAAACATTGTGGGACATGTCCGACAAATGGTGATCTATCTTTTGGCCTTCCTTGCGATAGAGGGGGCCCAACAAGATTCTTGCACCAGGGCCCTCACTACTCTAGTTCTGCCATTGGTGATGGATTACACAGGAGTGCAGTACAGAGATCCCCACACCGTACATATCTCTGTAAAGTGTTTTAGCTCTCTTTATATCTTTCTTGCCCTCTCTTAGCTCTCTCTCTCATGATCTCCTCTTGAGTAGTGTTCTTGCTTTCATAACTTTAGCTTTCTATTATAAATTGCTGCTGTTATGAAACATGTTAAAGCAGGAAAACATTGATAGACCATAACCATAGCTGATATGGTTAACAAAATCAACAATCATTACAGATAAAAAAGATTGAAATCAGAATCATCTCAGTCCTCAGAGTCACAGCCCCAGTCCTGCAGTTTGAAGCTTCACAATTTTTCAACTAGTCACAGCATGACTGTCTCAGAGCTGAGCTGTAGAGTGACTGAGCACTTTAAAGAAGATGGTGGGTATGTGCAGTAGGAGTTATTAAAACTATAAGTAACAGGCAGCACATTGTTCTCTGTCAGAAATGCCCCCCTCCTCTTGTCATCCCTGGTTTTATATACATTAATTATATATTTGAGAAATTTCCCATGTTTAATCAGCCCTCAGGCAGTCACTGTGGCTATTGAGTGAGAAAAAAAAGATAATATTCTACATATTTACATTTGGCAGCTGCTATGCTCTCTCTGTGTTACTTCCAAGAAAGCATTTTGCGTCTCTCTCCTGTGGGTACTGTAACCCCACCCCCTGGTGCTATCAGACAATGTTGACCTCTGAATATAGAGACCAATAACATGCTTTTCACTCATGGCTAACTGGTTCTGCTGCCCAAATGGCAACTCAATGGAAGTTCCTGAAATGTTTTCTTAAAGTACACTAGGCATGTGTAAAACCTGCTGAAACAGGTCAGATTTCAAACCAGCCCCATTTTTTACACATATGAAAACTGGTGGAGAACTACCCCAAAAACTGGTGGAGAGCCTCCAATGTAGGCGGCGGGCAGTGAAGGTGCTTGCTCACCTGAGCTCTTCGTGCTCAGCTCCCTCTCACGCCGCTTAATGAAGCCGGGAACCGGAATATGACATCACTCCGGGTCCCGGCATCACTAAGCGGCGCGCAAGGGGGCTGAGCAGGAAAATCTGAGCTTCCTCGCCGTCTACTCAGCCTGTCCGCCCCTTACCTGCCCACCCAGCAGCCCTACTGGACCGCAGGTAAGTAATCTACTCGAACTCTCCCAGGGAGGCTGGGTGGATTTAAATTAAAATAAAAAAAAATACAAAAATCGATAGTGTTGGGGGAAATGTGTGTGTGTGTCTGTAAGTGTGTTTGTGTGTGTGTCTGTAAGTGTGTGTGTCTAAGTGAAAGTGTGTGTGTGTCTGTAAGTGTGTATGTGCCGGTCAAAGAGTGCGTGCGTCCGTCAGTGAGTACGTGCGTCTGTCAGTGAGTGCGTCTGTCAGTGCGTATGTCTTTCAGAGTGTGCGTCTGTCAGTGAGAGTGTGCGTGTGTCAGTGAGTGTGAGTCTGTCAGTGTGTGTCCGAGTAATAGTGTATGTCTGTCTATCAGTGTGTCAAACCAGTGAAAGTGTGTGTTTTTCATTGTCAGTGTATATAAGAGTGTGTGTCTGTCAGTGAGTGTGCGTCTATCAGTGAGTGACCGTCTGTCAGTCAAAGTGGGGCCTTGACAGGAAGGGGTGGGGGATATTTAAATTAGGGGGGGTGCCCGAGCACCGTCCTGCCTAGGGCAGCACAAATCCAAAATACACCACTGTGTAGTATATAGATATAACTTGTTGTTTTTGTTCATTTGTGAAGGAAATTAAGAAACTGTGCAAATTAAGAGTTTTGGTATGTTAGCATAAATTCCTGAAGTTTGGATGTTGATGACCCTTGCATTGATCATCCTGGTTATTTCCTTATTTTACCTTATGAGTTCTGGATTTGTCATATGCTTATATGGCCTGTAGGGGAGAACCTTATTTTCTAGATCAGGGGCAGTGGCATACTTCCCATCCCATATTAATCACTCTGTCCCACTTTTCCTCCTGATTACCTGGTCAAAAGCTCTGTCGCTTGAAGATGATTTATGAGTGATAAAAGAGAGAGTAAATGGGCTGTGGACTTCTAACCAAACATCATTTCAAAGTGTTGTAGTTTTTAAATGTGACGCATACTCTCTTTGGGTGCAGATAAACATTGTCTTTATAAATACCTTTTGTTTTGTTTTTCCAGGGGAGCAAAGAGAGGTACCACTGGCAGAGCCATAATGTGAAACAAAGTGGAGTAGATGACATGGTCCTTCTATCAAAGATCTCAGAAGATGCAATTGTGGATAACCTTAAAAAAAGATACTTAGATGATTACATTTTTGTATCCTTTATAAAGTCTTTCTAAACCATTTTGGTTAAAAAGGGTTGATTTTCAAAGAACAAAAATTGACACCATCCTAATATATCATACGACTTATCAGGAAGATGTACAAAGGTATGATGAACTATATCCATTTAAAATCCACAAATATATACTTTTTCGAAAAGTAACTTTTTTGCAATCTCACAGATTTAGTGCAATTGTTCTGTATAACATAAGTACTAAAATCATTGAGTGACCGGACTATATGAGCTGAATGGTTTGTCATATTGGAGGAATCCTAATAAAATAAGCTTGTCTGCAATATCCCATTTTTATATGTATATAGATGCTGATTTACAGGGTACGGTACTCAGTATATGTGAACAATTAAGCACAATACATGCTGAAAAGGGGCATCATTTTTCATTGCTCCACATAGACCACTTGATACTAATATTGGTTTATTTCATTTTATTTATTTATTATTTATTGCTTTTACATTTTACAAAATACAGACATTACATTAATAGACATTGGTATAGTATAAATAATCATGAAATACAATTCACATATTAGACTTACATACTTTATATTACCTACAAAAACAAACACATACACGCAGAACGGGTCACTTTTCAGCAGGGGATATTATTTAGAAATAAGGGGATTATGCTAACTAGTATTTAAATAGTAGGACTATTCAATTAGTTATTGTATGCTAATTGAGTCAAACAGACATCCAGAGGGGGACCGGGTGTTCGTTGAGTGCCATGCCGAAAACAGTTCCAGGCACTCGACGACCAAGTCCTATTGGCCACCGTTCGGGAGTTAAGATGGCCACCGTCCATTGTTCTTGCTACGTGTCCGTATGCCGAAATGGCGGCCACCTCGGAACAGTCAATTAACTTGCGGTTTTCGTGCAGTTACTCAGAGTTCTAAGTTCTAATTGCTATCCAGGGTGGTCCTCGTTCGGTAAGCTGACTATTTTAACGAAAGTAACGAATGAACCAGCAATAAAGGTAATAAATCCAACGAATAAAGTAGCAGGGAGGGAGAGAACCGAATGAGTGGAGGGTGATTCTTCACACACTCTATTAAGCTGTAGTTTTTCTGGTGACTATAGTGTCCCTTTAACCAAATTATTACATCTAAAATTGATCAAAAGCTCTGAAGTTGATCAAAAGATGAGCATATGTGGACATTATATGACGACGCAAGATTAGGTCAGTTACGTCTATGTTTATTTTAGGAAAAGTGAACACTGAGTCTGCCTAATTATAGAAAATAAATGTGTGAGGGTTTTTTCTTAGTACTCACTAGTTCTAGTTAATGGGGATCTTCCCTGAGCAGTTTCAGTGAAATTTGTGGTTATTTTGTGTGGAGTCCAATTCAAAACCCTTTCAGAAATTTCTGTGCCTTTAAATGTATAGAAGAAGAAGACTTTAAGTGAATGTCCTCCAAAAGTATTGCTCCAAAGTGCCCCAAATCCAGAGTTTACTGAATAACACTTTCGGTGAGATACTCTGAAAATCACCTATCACTTTTGTTTTACCTTTTCTTTTAAATTTATATTTACGTTTAGCAAATTATTTCTCAAACCAGTTCAGTCAAGGCACATCCAAGGCAGACAATGCAAATGAGCAGGGGAAATAGAAACAATGTTTAGTTTATCCTCTTCTTTGTGTGCTTTGTTTATGCTAAATTCCAGGTGCAAATGACAGAGTTTATGACGATGATTGACAGGTAGCTAAGATGGAGGCGCGCAGTACCAGGACAAAAGGGTGCAGATTTGTACATTTAATTTTATCTTCTCACTTTATTGATACATATTTGTTAATTACAGGAATAAGTAAAATTAATATTAATAAGTCTCGGAAAAGAGAGTTCCCCTTTAAAATGTGATGTTGTGGTTAAAAGAAAATCAATTGTTTCATAGAAAATTTTTTTAAATGGTACTGTGTCACTAGTGTGTAATCCGGTGCTGAGTGGGTGGGAGGGGGGAAAGGGAGAAGCTGTGGTTTGTCTTATAGAAATAGTCTCCTTAAATGGACAAGACAAAGAAAGACAGGAGAGGAAGGAAGAGGTGGCCCTCTTAAACAACATATATTAAAATAAAATATATATTAAGTAGTGTGCATTATTTAGAGATAGGTAGATAGATAGATAGATAGATAGATAGATAGATAGATAGATAGATAGATAGATAGATAGACAGATAGACAGATAGATAGACAGATAGACAGATAGACAGATAGATAGATAGATAGATTTATATAAGATTATATAAAATCCCGTGTTACGCATTTCGCACCCCCGGTGCATGTTGAGAAAGCACCATGGGGGTGCGAAACACATCCAGGGTACTCACTCTTACCTTTTTGTGGGTGGCCGTGTAGGTGGTCTTCCTTATGTCTGGAAGTAGCAGTAGGTATCACAACTACTTAATATTTCATTCCTTAAGTGTTCCTATTTTTTGCAAGTATGTTGTCCTTGCCTGGATATCTGTATATTCATCTTGTGATTATTATATGCTGTTTGCATTACTCAATATTCCTGCTCTTAAATTCAGCTTTTTTGGAGTGCTGCCATGACTATTTTGTGCCATACATCGCTGCAATTTTTATATCAATAAATGTGCACTTTTTCATTATATCTGTTTATATTTCTGTGTATCATAAGGGCGGACTGCATTTTGTTTTGTGCTATTTTAAAGGGACACTACAGGAACTCAGACCACCTCATCTCAATAGAATGGTGTCATGTCACTATCATTTTAACCCTGCAACTTAAAACCTAGCCATTCTGCAGTAACAGCAACGCTAATATTGCAGGATTAATATGCTTCTAGTGGCGTTTTCACCAAAATTGTAGAGCGAAACCCTGCTATTTCAATCAGATTGTCTCATAGAGACCATCAGATTGGCAATTCATGGCATTTTGCCATGCCTCGCTGCAATGAGGGAGCTGGCCTGCCGGTAAGAGAGATCTTTTGATCTCTCTTCCGGACAGTGCATTAAGCTGCACATGCATTTAGGTGTTCCTTAGCGCACCCGACACACCCCGTGCACTCACCTACGTTTCTATCTCTAACACTATAGTGCCCGTTTAATAATTAAATAAGCATCTGTATCTTTATAACTATATCTGTATAACCGCATCCATGTCTGTTTAACAATTAAATAACCATCCACATTTTCTGTAACAGATAGGTTAATTGCAGTGTTGGCGTTTGTGTATTTTTTTTTACCAGCGCTTTAATTTTGAAATTTACATTTTGAAAATTACACCTTGTAATCTTCATATTTTTACATTGATTATAACTTTACAACCTCTAAACAGCCACTTACGCACGCAACAAGCCAAGCAAGAGGTATTGACCATTTTAGCCTCTTTGAGCACTATATTAAAAATCCACCCAGATGCACATAAGTACCACTAAGTGTTTGTATTCTATGCCTATTCACAGATTCAATACAACCATATATTGACATTACACTGGTAATACATTTAGAAATATGACAGAGACTCATAGGCCTCAGTTTCCTTCCCCAATATTACAGGATGTGTGAATCAGCACACTTGTGTTGTGGTAGGAGATGTACATTTTATCTCAAAATGAGGATTACTGTATCTTAAAACACACTTACAAGAAACGCATCTTTTAAAAATGAAAGGATATATTGTACTGTAAATACTCTGCATTTTATACTTCTTGTAACAGTCTTGTGTTTTTAGAGGATTTATAATAAGCCTATTAAGTACAATACTTTTTAAATTAAATAAAATAGTAGCTAGTATTCATGAGTATGTATCATCAAGTAAGTTGGACTTCAGAACAAACAGCAAATACATGTATTAAAGATTTCCTAAGACATACATTGGTAGAAATGTAGAAAAAGTTTTAAAGGTGGCATATTCACCTGATATCCAGAAATCAGATGGTTATTCAAAACATCAAATTCTGCCTAATATTTGTTTTTATGAATAGAATCCTAGGTAGCTATCTCAGGTCTCAAAATTGCCTCTAGACCTTAGCCACTCGTGAGCAAAAATTTATCCATGGTGAGCAAAAATTCACCCCACGTTATTGTGCCATGAACCGTCCTGGCTTACAGTGGCAGGTAAATTTTAAGGTCTGGCTAGTAGCCTAGGACTTCACATTTGAAGCCTTGGCTATCTGTTTTATAACATGGCTGCAAAACAATTTTTTTAAAAGGGACACTACAGGCATCAATACAACCTTAGCATGAAGCAGTTTCAGTGTATAGATCATGCCTCTGAAGTCTTACTGCTCAATTCTCTGCCATTTCTGAATTAAATCACTTTGTTTCTCTTTATATAGCCCTAGCCACATCTCCCCAGGCTGTGACTCACACAGCCTGCAAGAAAAAATCAGATCTTAATTTACATTAGAAGTTTTTATCTACTGCTCTGGAAATTGGACATGCATGGTCTAGCAGGCTATTAACAGAACGGAACATACATTCTACTTTAAACAGACAAAAAAGGAGGTTTAAAAATTAAATCCCTCTTTACAGGAAATATTTAAGGAGGCTGTATACTTTACATGCAGGAGGTGTGACTAGGGCTGCATAAACAACGTGATTTTCTACTCAATATATAAGTCTGTTTAAGATTTGCTTGAGGCACTTTTAAAGTTAACATGTCTTGTCAAGCTCCCATTAACACATAACATCTCCTTAAGCAATAAATAGTTGATTTATCTCAGATAAAATATTATATAGTTTAATGATTGGTATATTAATTCTTACTTTCTCCCCAACACTGACATCACTAAAGACAGAAAAATTTGATAAATGATCACCAGAGGAATACCGCAGCAACTACTGCACATTATTGGTAGTTCCTATGATTTAGATCAGGAAAATTACCCTCACTCAATCCTTGACATATATGCTGTGCTGTTAACATAACACACATATCACACACACCTAAAGATGCGATTGACAAGTAAGGGAAGGTAACATTTTTTTTTAGATCTATTGAAAAATATATACCGGTACATTTGCTAGCAATTCTGCTAGCGCTAACTTGCAAATTTTGTCTCATCAATTTAAAATGGGGTAAAAATGTACTTCTCAATCCATGAACCTCCAATAAAGATATGAGTTTGGTAAATTCTTGAAAATTGTAGAACTCATAAAAGTCATCTGACTTTCTTCTGGAGTCCATATGTCTGCTCTTAAATGTGTTTAGCTGTATATATGGGGCAATTGTTATCCTATCATATGGAAACATCATGACAGAGGGGCTTATCATGCATCTGGGTGCATCCGATCTTCTAAAAAGTCTTCCTATTCAATGGCCACATTCTGTTCATGTGGGTCAATTATTGAATATAATTACTCTCATGTAACAGCTGACCATTTTATCGTTCTTCCAAGTTTCCCAGTCTATATCAGAAATTTTACGTTTAAGGCGTCCTTTGTTTTCTCCAAATATAGACATCCCTGGATTAAATGTAGTGTTAACTATGACAATATTACAGGAACAGAGGATCTGAAACAATATTTAGTCTGTGCAGTTGTGGCATTTCGCAATAGTGAATGTTTCGAACTGTCTATCCCCGTCATCACCGACCATTATTCCTCTTTGTTAGCATAGGTTGCCTATATTTGGCAAATTTTTATCTATATTTTTCAGACTATGACCCATGACATATTAAATCATTTTGCTGATTTTGTGACTAATGCACCCTCATTCCACGCAGCAAAGATGTACCTTTTAGAAACTCCATTTGTTGCCTCATGTTCCTTTGAAAAACTCTCATATTGAAATGGTAATTGTCAGATGTCTTACGTAGCGAATACGTGTTGCTAATTAGTAATCAACTTAAAGGAACTTAAAGGAATACACCAGATAAATGTAATTATTTTAAATGTTGGGATGTTCCTGTTTCTTTTTAGATTGAAGGCCCCCTTTAAAATAAGCTACTTTTAATCCAGCAGTAAGACCACTAGCTTGCCTCGGCCTCTAGGAGATTGACATGAGTGACCTTCCTTTTGTTGATTTTTTCAGTGATCATTTTCAAACCAATATTATTATAAAACTCCAGCATATTCCATAGCGCTTTTCAATTAGAAAAAAGGCCTTGCTCGAAGAGTTTATAATCTATAGTAGCCAAATATGCATCGTCAAGTGCCTTGTTCTAGGACATTTTTTGATAGGGTGGTCTGACCAGGATTCAAACCTGAGTTTCCCAGTTCAAAGGCAGTTATGCTACCATTCACTAACCAGCCAATATACTCCATAGTCTCCCTTGCATAGACCAAATACACCGACTTTGAACAAATGCAAGAATAAAATACAAATCAACTAATAATAAAGTAAGAATAAAGAATAATGTAAGAATAAAGAATAAAGAAATAAATCAACAAATAAAGTAAGAATAAAAAATAAATCAACTAATAATAAAGTAAGAATAAAGTAAGAATAAAGAAAGAAATTAACTAATAAAGTAAGAATAAAGAATACATTTAGAATAAATAATACAAAATAAATCAACTAATAATAAAGTAAGAATATTAAATAAATCAACTAATAAAAAGTAAGAATAAAGAATATAAAAATAAATAAAATAAAAAATTTAAAAAATCTGTGTAAGAATAAAAAATACTCATATAAATATGGTGCAATGCCAAAAAAAGTAGACATGTCTGCTCAGTCCAAGCTCAAAATACAGCCACATATAACAAAGCTACATTGTAGTTTAATGAGACACTGAAATGTCGTGAGACTGAAAACATTTAAAGGGACACTATAGTCACCCAGACCACTTCAGCTCAATGAGGTGGTCTGGGTGCCAGGTCCCTCAGGTTTTAACCCTGCTGATGCAAACATAGCAGTTTCTTAGAAACTACTATGTTTACATTGCAGGGTTAAGCTAGCCTCACAGATGCGCCTCTAGTGGCTGTCCGGAAGTGCATAAGTGCATAAGTCCATCCTCAACAGTGCTGTCTTTTGTCTCAATGTACAGAGGGTCGCATTGGCATTACCCAGCATGCAGATAGAGTTCTGGGCCCATTCGCGGAAGTCACTTGGGTCCAACTGCGTGCCCTGTGAGAGGGCCAAATCCACAAAAATAGGATCTTAGCCAATGGGCCTAGTAGATCCAATGGCTTGTCTTGTGCCGACTTTAGCCCCTTCTCGATGCCCTTCCTGAGGTCTCTGCCAGCCCGGGACATGAAACACTACACTTGACACTACTGTGGTGTCAGATACCGGAGTGATAACCTTGTCTGGGAGGAGGAGGGGGCGGGGGCATTCCGTTCGTAGGCGTACCCGCACTTCCTTATCCAGTGGCTTGCGGAGCCAATAATGGACAAAGTGTGCCAGATGATCTGGCATTGTCCATACTGACTACCTGGGGTGTCGTATAGTGTGTGGATCGAACATGGGTACCCCCATTTCGTCCAGAAAAAAACCCTCCAGTGGTCTTGAGCGGAGGTGTGCAGGTACCCTTTTCCTGATGTTCATCACCTAGCATGGTTTCAATCCCGTACTTGGAGTCGGAGTGGGTTAGGTCTTGCCAGTCCACTCTTTCAAAATGCTTGGGATTTTTCAACTGAGCTTTGCCCCTAGACTTGCTCCCCGTCGGGGACCTGGAACCCTTCCTGTGACGTTTGGACCCTGTCTGGCTCAGTGGAGCATCAGATCCCACGTCGGCATCAGAGTCTTGTGGCCCCATTTGCTGAGGTTGGGGTAGGACTCGTAGTAGGGCCTTTTCAACTGAAGCCGCGCCAGCAGCATTAATCATGGCCTAAAAGTCCTGAGTTGGTGGAAATGTGTCGCTCATGGTGGTCGGTCTGCCTGTAAGAGGACAGCGACAATCAGTGGGAGCAAGATAAATGGAGACGCACATAAGGTGCCAGGCTTCTAGTACAACTGTGGCTCACCCAGGGAACGGTTTAGCCATGTACAATGATAGTGCCATGAAGAGGGGCTCACCCTCTAAGGCATACGAAAGGGGATTGCCCTTAAGTGAATGGGAGAAGTATTAGTCTCAGAATCATGGGGTTGGTCCCCAGTTTAATTCCCCGTCCGGAGTGATATTGAGGTGTTAACCTCTTAATTGTTGCCAATGTGACGTATCTTTGAGGGGTTCACCCCAGTTACACGTCAAAGTGGTCAGCAATAAAACAGGTGTACACCGCATGTGTGATAGTTCTGCATGGTGTGATAATGTATCTTCAGACAACATAAAGGATGTGAGAGATCCCTGTAGGGAATGTGCAGAGTATCAGCAAGTATCAGCTCGGTGCTGAGTGAAAAAATACAATTGGCTATATTTTTTGCAATCTTAGCATGACATCAAGTAGAGGAATTGTCACATTTCCTATTAGTAATAAAAGAAGAGAATAAAAAAGCATGTGGATGCATAATTTGTAAAACAAGAAATATGATAACACAAAGATGACAAGCAAGACAAAAATAAGGGCATATGTTGCACTTTTTCATGAACAGTTTCTTCCTTCAAGCCTCATGTTCAATCTATCGCCAAATCCTGTCATTTCCATCTCAAAAACATTGCGTGCATCCGCCCCTACTTAACGTCAGATGCGACTAAGGTGTTGGTCCATTCCACTGTCCTTTCTCGCCTTGGCTACTGTAATCCGCTTCTCGGTGGTCTTACGTGCTCCCAACTAGCAACGTTACAGTCCATAATGAATGAGTTGGCGAGGCTCATCTTCCTGTCCGCCCGCACCTCCCATGCCTCACCCTTCTGTCAATCCCTACATTGGCTTCCTATAAAATATAGAGCTCAATTTAAAATTCTGGTTCTTGCTTTCAAATCTCTACATAATGCTGCTCCCACCTATCTATTCTCCCTTATACACAAGTATGTCCCGTCTAGGCCCTTACGATCTGCTGAAGACTTACGTCTATCTTCTGTCCGTACTCCCACCTCTGATGCTCGCAGGGGCGGACTGAGAACCCTCAGGGCCCCCGGGCAAAATAAATCAAGGGCCCCCTTACAGGCCCCACCCATACTCTGCAGCAAGCGCCACCCTTGTCCCGCCTCCATGCACCGCCTCCAGCCACACCCTACACAATCTTTAGACACAAGGAACCAAAGGGCAATAAGCCCTTCGAGGCCCCAGTAGAGACTACAATTGAGGGCTAATGGGCCATGGAGGGGGGTCTTTCTAGCGGAGGCTATCTCAGTGTCCTTTAGAGGGGGTGTTAGAAAGAATCCCCTCCAAGCCCCATTAGAGACTACAATGGAGTCTAAAAGGCTTGGAAAGGGGTCTTTCTAACAGAGGCCATCTCAGCGTCCATTAGATATCCCCTGCTGGAAACAGTCGCCTCCAGGCCCCAGTAGGAACTACAATTGAGGGCTAATGGGCCATGGAGGGGATTTCTAGCAGAGGCTAGAGTCTAATGGGGCCTGGAGGGTGGTCTCTCCAACACTCTGGTTCCTATTCACAATATAGCAACACAACATAGCTCGCTGATACCTAAGCCAAGTTGGCTCCTCTTACCTTAATTACTGTTGCTGGCTGGCAGTCTGTGGGCTTGCTGGCTGCGGCTGGCAGGCTGTGGGCTTGCTGGCTACTGCCGGCAGGCTGTGGGCTTGCTGACTGCGGCTGGCAGGCTATGGCTTGCTGGCTGTAAGCCTGTGGCTTGCCTGGCTGTAAGCCTGTGGCTTGCTGTAGGCCTGTGGGCTGGCTACTGGCCTGTGGGCTGGCTACTGGCCAGCCTGTGGGTTGGCTGGCTGGCTACTGGGGCACTTGTAGATTATTTAAAGAAATAATCCATGCACAATAACCACTACTGCTCCAGAGTAAGTAGTCAAACCGTTTAAGAACAGTTTGACAACTTACCTGGGATCTGCTGGGATATGGGGCTGTAGTAGGGAATAGGAGCAGTGGTGCAATGTGTGTGAAAGGTTCAGTGTGTGTGTGGGGGTGTAGTGTGTGAATGTGTAGGGTGTGTGGGCAGTGTATGTGTGTGGCAATGTTAGTATGGGGGGCTGTGTATGGGGGTCTGTGTGTATATGGGTGGGCAGTGTATGTGTGTGTGTGAGGCAATGTGTGTAAATGTGTATGGTGTGTATGGGGGCAGTGTGTGAATGTGTATGGTGTGTGTGTGGGGGCAGTGTGTTTATGGGGCTAGAGTTCACTCTCACCACTGCGACCACCAGGAATCCATGGGGGTTACAGTGTTGAGAGTGAACTCTAGCCCGTAGCTCCAGGGCTAGAGTTGACTCTCGCAAGAGCAGTAACGTTGCCATGGTAACCGCGGCAACGCTCTGTGCTCGCGCAAGAAGGACCCAGAGGAGCTGCAGGGTGAGCTCCCAGGTCCTCTCTTCCTCCCCTGCCCGCACGGTGCCTGCGGACAGGGGAGGGGGGGCATTCTTCCCTCTCTTTCTCCCCCCTCCCCATCTCTCTATTCCCCCTCTTTCTCCCCGTGTCTCATTCTTCCCTCTCTGTCTCCCCATCTCTCTATTCCCCGTGTCTCATTCTTCCCTCTCTGTCTCTTTCTCCCCCTCCCCATCTCTCTATTCCCCCTCTTTCTCCCTGTGTCTCATTCTTCCCTCTCTGTCTCTCCCCTCCCCATCTCTCTATTCCCCCTGTGTCTCATTCTTCCCTCTCTTTCTCCCCCCTCCCCATCTCTCTATTCCCCTCTTTCTCCCTGTCTCATTCTTCCTCTTCTTCTCCCCGTGTCTCATTCTTCCCTCTCTGTCTCTTTCTCCCCCTCCCCATCTCTCTATTCCCCCTCTTTCTCCCCGTGTCTCATTCTTCCCTCTCTGTCTCCCCCTCCCCATCTCTCTATTCCCCCTGTGTCTCATTCTTCCCTCTCTGTCTCTTTCTCCCCCTCCCCATCTCTCTATTCCCCCTCTTTCTCCCCGTGTCTCATTCTTCCCTCTCTGTCTCTGTCTCCCCCTGTGTCTCATTCTTCCCTCTCTTTCTCCCCATCTCTTTATTGCCCCCCCTTTCTCCCCCTTCCCCATCTCTCTGTCCCCCCTCTTTCTCCCCTTCCCATCTCTCTATCCCCCCTCTTTCTCCCCCCTCCTCTCTCTTTCCTCCCCCCCCACTCTCCCCTCTCTTTCTCCCCATCCCCCCTCTCCCCCTCCCCCTCCCCATCTCTCCCCCTCCCCATCCTCCCCCTCTCTCCCCCCTCCCATCTCCCCTCTCTTTCTCCCCCCCTCTCTTTCTCCCCTCCTCCCATCTCTCCCCCTCCCCCATCTCCCCTCTCTCCCCCCCTCCCCATCTCTCCCCTCTCTCCCCTCCCATCTCTCCCTCTCTTTCTCCCCCCTCCCCTCCCCCATCTCTCCCCTCCCCATCTCTCCCTCTCTCCCCCTCCCACTCTCCCCTCTTTCTCCCCTCTCTTTCTCCCCCCCCCTCCCCTCCCCCATCTCCCCCCCTCTTACTAGTCAGAGGCCGACCGTTCGTATTGAAGCGGCGGGACCCGGTGGCAGCCCTAGCGGTCGGTGACATTCCACTCACTAACACTGGAGGGGAAGGAAGGAGGAGGAGCATGTGTCTGATCATGCTCCTTTGCGGTTCCCACATCCTGTGCTGGGAATTGTGGGAACCGCAGGGAGCATGACAGACATCTCCCCTCCTCCTTCCTCTTCAGTGTTGAATGGCCGACAGGAGACGGCGGGACTCCACCAGGCCTCCTCTTATGGCAGACCGCTCCCAGTGTGTGCCACCGGACTGGCCACCCGGTGGCACCTGCTGTCCCCCCCCAATCCAGCCCTGCCGCCGGGCCCCCTGAAGGCGGCCCTGGCGGCGGGCCCCCCTCCCGGCCGGGCCCTCGGACCGTGTCCGAAGTGCCCGACCGGTCAGTCCGCCCCTGGATGCTCGCCTTCAAGATTTCTCGAGGGCTGCACCGTTCTTGTGGAACTCGCTTTCCTCCTCCGTTAGATGCTCACCCAGTCTCCACTCCTTCAAAAAATCGTTAAAAACCCACTTCTTCATAAAAGCGTATCAATTAAATTGTTAATAGCTCCTGACTGATTCCTCTTCTGCAACTGTCATTAGTCTAATACTATCCTTACCTTTTTGTGTCATTTTACCCCACTCTCTCGAGCATGTAAGCTCATTGAGCAGGGCCCTCAACCCCTCTTGTATCCAACTTGTCTGGTTACAACTACATGTCTGTTCGTCCACCCATTGTAAAGCACTGCGGAATTTGACGGCGCTCTATAAATATAATAATAATAATAATTAGACATGTCAAGGTCACTATTAAAGAGACAGTACAGGCACCCAAACTACTTCAACTCATTGAAGTGGTATGGGTGCAGTGCCCCTATCAGTTTAACCCTGCAACGTTTATAATTGCAGTTATTGAAAAAAAATTTTTTTTAATAATTAGCTTGCAGGGTTATCTCCACCTCAAGTGACTGTCTACCAGACAGCCACTAGAGACGCTTCAGGGTTATTGGGCAACATTTAGTTGCCTAACTGACGCTGGATGTCCTCCCGCTCTATATGAGAATATCCAGCTTCAGCTAACTCCCCATAAAAAAGCAATGATTCAATGCTTTCCTATGTGGTAGTCCTAATGTGATCACGGTGCTCGATGCACATGCGCATTAGGACCCTGATAGCTGACAAAGAATTAAGTGACAAAAGAGTTTTTAACCCTTTCTGCACTGTGTGGTTGGGCGCAGGCGAGGGGGAACTATAGGATACTGTAGTATAGTTTCCCTTTAATTATTACACCTGATGAATGACAGGTTGGTCTAGTGTTTTCTAACACGTGTGAAATGCGTCAGATAAAAGGGAACTATTAACCCCTTAAGGACCAAACTTCTGGAATAAAAGGGAATCATGACATGCCACACATGTCATGTGTCCTTAAGGGGTTAAACAACAACAAAAAAAGCACGAATAAAAGCAAAAAGAAATAAATTAATTATCTTACAGTGCAAGCTAATCTGCCACTACAAGGCAAACCTCTTAGGTGAGCCCTCCATTAACAATCTACCTGGCTGTTTCAAGTTAAAATCTGTAATTAGAAAGGTATTTTTATAAACCTTTAGATACTTATTAACCCCAACACACATAGGGTGAGTGGCAGCACTGTAACATGGGTATGTAATAGAAAAGCAAATACAAATATACAAAAACCCAAATACATACAAAAAAAGTTAACTACACACTATCCCAAATCCCTATGCACATTTAAATAACAGGAGATATTTAGTGTCACCCCAAAGGCCATTAAAGTGCAAGCTCACCTTCCAAGTCAAGGCAAATCTTTCATTTCTCCACTACTTTGGCTTAAAATTTGAAATTCACTTTCAATTCACTTTTAATTCTCACTTGAGTGAATAACCCTGTCAGTGTACCATTGAGTGAAATCTTTGTTGATGTAACCCTTTACAAGAAATATATTTCAGATTCATAATTGATGCATTTCCTCTTGGCTTGCTAACCATACTTGCTAACCATACTTCCTTCATTTTTGGTACAATACACCCTACATAGAATGTTCTTCGTCTTGCAGGCATTTTGGTCATTCTTAATCTAAAGCAATTGCCAGATCTTTTGAAGAGATTCTGAAGTTGCTAGGTCCAACATATTTTCATGGACACGTATGAAACATGGCGTCTTACAGCTGGGATTCTTACCTGATAAATATATTTTTCTTCTAGGTTATGAATTCTATATATAATGATATATGTCCAAGAAAACCAGAATGTACTTTGTTGACATATTTGGACCAAAAATTAAAGGGACACTATAGTCACCAGAAGAATTACCTACAGCTTATTGAATTTGTTCTGGTGAGTAGAATCATTACCTTCAGGCTTTTTGCTGTAAACACTGTCTTTTCAGAGAAAATGCAGTGTTTACATTACAGCCTAGTGATAACTTCACTGGCCACTCCTCAGATAGCTGTTAGAGATCCTTCCTGGGTCATGACTGCCTAAAATGCATCCAAACATTCAGTATCTCCTCCCTCTTCAGGTGGACACTGAACTTTCCTCATAGAGATTCATTGATTCAATGAATCTCTATGAAGAGATGCTGATTGGCCAGGGCTGTGTTTGAATCATGCTGGCTCTGCCCCGATCTGCCTCCTTCTCAGTCTTAGCCAATCCTATGGGGAAGCATTGTGATTGGATCAGGCTACCACTTCTGATGATGTCAGCAGACTGCTTGTTTTTCTGAGTCTAACAGCATGCAGAGTTACAGCTTCAGGCTTGAATACAGTAAGATTGTTACTATATTTAAGGAGGCATGAGGGGCCCAGGTGGGCTAGATGGTGGTTTTAACACTATAGGGTCAGGAATACATGTTTGTGTTCCTGACCCTATAGTGATCCTTTAACTTAATCTAAATGCAGACATTTCTCAAAAGTGATCCTTTGGAGGAGGTGTGGGAACAAATTTTAAATTATTTACACATTTGGTGGCACGGTATAGGGATAATTGTTACATGAAATAAGATTTTTTATTATATTTCTGATAAATTTAAAATAATCTTAATCCCATCTCCTATGAAAGGACTTTTACACTTTTACAGCTTTTAAGAATTAAATTCAGCAACTATTAAAAATAGATATTTAATTATTCAAATATTCTTAGCTATGGAAATACTTATTGCAAGGAAATGGAGACATACAGAAACAATATCCGGGCCTGAAGTGGTAAATCGAGTGAACTACCAATGTGTGGTGGAAAAAGGTTCATACCTTGAATACATTTAATTCATTACTGAATATATGGCTAAAATAATGTCTCTGACATTGACAAATTATATCATAATATTATATCAAATATGGAAATTATAATATTTTTTCCACTTTCAAAATCCTCAGTCTTGAGGTAAAGCAGATCAACACCGCATGAAAATATACACTAATCTAATATCTTGTAAGTACAGTCAAGTATATGTTAAATGTTTGCAGCATTGTAGTCTCTGGTTCTGTTTTGTCTTGTGTAATATTTTGATGTAAACTATAATCTTATCAATCATTTTTTTTTTTTTTAGAGTGATCCTTTGCTAAACATTAAATGACCAGGCAATTTTTATTCTTTTATTTTGTTATTTTTGTAAGTTTTGTGACAAACCAATAAGAGTATGTCAACTTTTAAGAAGATTTTGAGATTGTTTAAGTTGGTGACAAACAGTCGAATTCCGGAGCTCCGAGCAAAAATGTAGCCATGTCAAGCCCTTCTCTGAGAAGTTTATTATCATGGTGTTATTTCCCGTGATATTAAAACTACGTAACTTACCACATTGTCGACTGCAACATACAGATTAGTGGTCAGTTTCACTTCGCCTCTTATGGGAATATCAGATATATTCACACAAACAATATATATACACATATATACAAACACTAAATCCTGATCAAAGTTTATGCTCTAAACGGAAACTGTGACCTAATAAATGAAATAACCTTTTCCTATTTTGCAAAACCAAGTCTTTGAAGTGCCGTTTTTCCGCTTGAAGTCTGCTGAACATTGCAATGAGCTATAAGTTAATTGACGTCCTCAAGAGTTAGGTGTAGTGATGTCCCGAACTGTTAGCCGAACTCCAGTCAGCAGACACATTCCAGCCAGACCCTCCCACCTCCTGGACAGCATCCATTTTGAAGCTGCATTCTTAGTGAGCTGTCTAGGAGGTGGGAGGGTCTGGGAGGGAGGGTCTGCTGCTGATTGGCTGGAATGTGTCTGCTGACTGGAGTCCGTGGCGGACCGTTCGTGGCGAACCGTTCGCGAACCATTCGGCGAACAGTTCGGGACATCACTAGTTAGGTGTTGTTTTATATAATTAATGCAATGTTTTGTATTATTGTATAACCGCGCATGTTTTCTAATTGAATTTATGTCTTTCTGTCGGCATATTGTTATGTTCAACTTAAAATAATCCATTCACATATTTTTCCTTGATAACGCCTCCAGACATATATAGGTTCTGTCTTAATCTCTGTTAATCCGTTCAAACAGATGCCCTATTTCACAGACAGAGAAATTGAACTATACCAAGGGGCTGTAAGTCATTATAGTTACCTGTTCTACTAATATTTATTTGCTATGTAATAAAGAATTGATATATATATATAATTGTATGTAATGGCATGTATTAATTTGACTACTTTCTTAACTCAAGTCTTGCTTTTTATGTTTATACATTTCTTGCTACATACTGTAGTCTATAAATACCTGATGTCAGTATGGTATACCCTGCTTAATAAACATTATGAGCTCTATATAGACGTGCTAACTTTAATTAAGTGGGACATTACCTTTTGACTTAGGATATTTAAGGGCTATTTTACCATGACTGATTTATTTCATCATTGGTCTTTAGGAGAATTATATTAACCTAATTGTGCGTAACATGTTTAGCTGCTAAGTCCAAACTGCAATTCGTCGGAATGTGGGCCAATCAGGAGATCAGTCGAATTCCCGAGCTCCGAACCATAATGTAGCCAAATCACGAACCATCCTTAACACGCAATTACCAAGCATATTCGTTTTAAGTTGTGATTCTGTATTCTGACCGTGGCGTTAAAAAAAAAAAAAGAAGATGATTGATGGGGCTACTTTAAAGTCACTAAATGTTGATTTTCACAGATCAAGCAAGAAGGTTCCCAAATAATTTTTTCGGTATACAGAGATAAATTCTCAAACTGAACCCAAGGTTAAGATAAATCTCTGTGATGTGTTTGTATGAGCACACTCATTTCAAACTGAGACATTTAGTGCACTTTTTTCTATTTCTTTATTCTACTTATGAGGCCCTTTAATAAACTTTAAAGGAACACTATAGTGTCAGGAGCACAAACATGTATTCCTGACACTAAAGTGTAAAACCCAACATTAAGATCCTGCCTGGTCCCATCTCTTTACAGTAAAAGGTAATTTTACTCACCTTTTCAACCATGCCGCGCCAGTCTTCTAGCAGCTGGCCCAGCCTCCCTGGCTGAAATAATCAATCTTAATTATCTCAGCCAATCCAATGCTTTTCCATAGGAAAGCATTGGGAGGCTATTGCGCATTAAATCAATGCATCTCTTTGGGAAATATTTAGCCCCTCCATGTAGAGCTATAGTTTACAGCTTTACGTTGTCTGTGCAGAAGTGTAAGCACCCAATATCTTGATATGCAGATTATCTTAAACATGCACTTACCCACAATACATTTTTTCCCCCAAATGTTGGCCCATCGAACCATCAACTTCTCAAGATGGCACACATTGCATTTTGGTGTGCACTCTCATAAACATGCAGAAAGTTATATAGTTCTCAGGGGACATTTTGGTGTGAATTTAGCTGGGATTGTAGAGGTTAGCTATGATAAGAGAGGGTGGGTATTAGTGTTATGAGTAAGTACGCTGTAATAAAATGTGTTTCTGGACATTGTAAGAGGACTTGGAATATAGTTTGTTTTAAAGGTCTGTCTCGTTTGCTCAGGCACAGTACGAGAACCCCCCACATATCTATGCCCTAACGGACAACATGTATCGTAACATGCTCATTGATGGGGAGAATCAATGTGTCATAATCAGGTATGTGTCTGTTAATAACTGTGTGGTTATATTGATGTGTGCAGATTTTAAATGCAGGTCAAACTTCTTGGCCATCATTAGATAGAGTTAAACACATATTTCAGCTCATATTTCATTTTAGCTACTTAAGTTTAACTTGAGCATTGAATTCCTCTTTATTCTTATTTTAGTAAATAGCCCTATAAAAATATTTAAAACATTTTCTCCCCAATCGGACTGAAATACTACCATATTGATAGTTTTTAAACATTTTTACCATTCTTGGAAAGGAAGGGAACCAATTAGGAACGGAGAATATGACCTTGAGATTTATAGTTGGTGTGTTAAGGAGGTGTTTATTTAAAAGAAGAAAAACGACCACAACAAGAGGACATAGTCTTAAATTAGAGGGGCAAATGTTTAAAAATAATTTCAGGAAGTATTACCTTACTAAGAGGGTAGTGGATGCATGGAATAGCCTTCCAGCTGAAGTGGTAGAGGTTAACACAGTAAAGGAGTTTTTGCATGTGTGGGATAGGCATAAGGCTATCCTAGCTATAAGATAAGGCCAGGGACTAACGGAAGTATTTAGAAGATTGGGCAGACTAGATTATTATTATTATTATTATTATTATTATTATTGCCATTTATATAGCGCCAACAGATTCCGTAGCGCTTTACAATATTATGAGAGGAGGCATTTATCTATAAATAGGACAATTACAAGAAAACTTACAGGAACGATAGGTTGAAGAGGACCCTGCTCAAACGAGCTTACAGTCAATAGGGATGGACCGTATGTTTCTTATCTGCCGTCTCAATCTATGTTTCTATGTTAACCAACAGAGCTCTCTCAAAGTAATGTAAACCGCTTTCATATCTACTCACTAGGAGAGTTGTTTACAGGGCGATACAGATTGATCACATACAACATTGGACAGTGTAAACCCATTCACTTTAGATTGCACAAGAGTGTGTGTTCATACAGACTGCAATACACAAGGGAACATTTTGATACAAAACATATGGAGGCAATGCCATTTCAGCATCTTATCCTACAGAACAACATATCTCAGAGGAACTCAATTAACGTCTGGGGAAAATGACAAAACTTGATGGTCAAGTTTTGTCAAACATAGGAAACATACTAAGACAAAGCAGCCCCTACTTTGTTTTAGTATAACGTTTGACTGCAATGAAATTTCAGTGAAATTCCAACACAGTCAATGTAAGTATTTCATATAGATTTTATACTAATTTTGTAGGGGCCTGCCCCTTTAATAAAAAAAGGTACAGTTACATTTTAATTTGTTTAATAAAAATATATATATAATTAAAAGAGGATTAGCACCTTAAGAAATCCTTGGATTTTGGTGAGTATGCAATGTGACAAAAAGAGAAAGGAACATTTATATAGTGTTTTATGCCAAATTAGAGTATGAAATAAATAAAATATAGTCCCTGCCTAAGGATGTTTGGTGACTCTCTGGGTCCAGTGGTAGGTGGTCTGGAGGGTATGCGAAATAAACAGAAAAAAGACATTAACATAGTGTAGTATATTTAGTGAGGGAGGTAGATGAAATAGATGAGTGGAAAAGCACTTACATTATGTGGAGCCTCCTACTGGCTCCTGGAAAACAATGTAAAGTGGTACAATCCCCACTTTTGGATCTGTTGGATAGCTGAGGTTCTCATGATGATATATGTGGATAAAAACCAGAATTAAAATATAGTGCTCAACCGTCATATAAAGGATATGAATTGCAGAGGTACTCACTAGTGTGGAGCAAAATAACGGTTTTGTTCAATCCACAGGGCATAGGTGGTGTTCCTCACCAAGGAAATAGGTATCCAAACTCCAAGAGGAAATCAGGATGGTCCTGGAGTATTGTAAAATCCACTAATTGTATTAATAAATCTTATACAAAATAAAAAAAATATAAGAATAAAAGCAAATAGGCCAATTTAGATAACACTTTTTTTCACCTATGACAAAGCTTTTTCAGAAATATCCATTCCCTATACAGATTAATTCTCCATTTCTTATGCTAGCTGGTATGTTCATGGTTGTGAACAATTTTCTTCGTCTCTGTATGCTGATCCAGCAAAGTAAAAAATCTTTGGAAAAAAATTAACACTTTAGTGTTAGGGATAAAAAATGTATTCCTAACACTAATGTGGCCCTATCCCCCATGCCACCATGCCTTCCTCCTCCCCAGTTATGTAAAGCGTTAAATTACCCTTTATTCACTTACCAGATTCCAGGTCGCAATCTGCCTCCTCCGATGTCATCCAATAGTGGGGGACCAAATGCACATGCGCATCAACGCTTTCTTCTCTGACGCTGGACGTTCTCATGCGGAGTGTGAGGACATCCAGCGTCGATTCACAGTGTCAAACTCCATGAAACTCCAGAAAGCGCCTCTCCCTTTAATGTGGATGAGATTTTAAAAAGGATCTTCTCTGAGCTTTTGCCCGTTCTCAGAGTTCTCATAGCATAGTATGACAGATATAATTTGTGCAAGTAAAACAAGTTTATCATGAGATTCACATTACCCCAAAATAAATGCTTCTAGATTAGAACATGGTATACAGTGTAAACCGGAGCTTTCTAGAGCAACTCCCCGAGAGGCTTGTGTTTTGTGCAAACTACAGCTTAAAACTACTTAATGGATGCCAAATTACGAGACATATAAATGTAAATATTGTAAAGTAATTAATGGTTGTTTTCTTTAATTTTTATATTCCAGTGGTGAAAGTGGAGCAGGGAAAACTGTAGCAGCAAAATATATTATGGGATATATTTCCAAAGTGTCTGGAGGTGGCAGCAAAGTGCAGGTATCAAGAATTCTAAATTTTTGATAAAAAGATGTACTTCCTATTTTTTGATGTTTTGTTTTGTTTTGTCGTTTAATGATATCTACAGGGTAACAAAACTAAGACCGAGACTATTTAAGTGTGCGGTGACATGGAAACATGTCAACAAACACAACACAAAATAGCAGTAGAAATAAGGGGGCTTCCTGTCCTTGAGAGAGAAGTTAAGCAACAATTAATTTCAGAGTCTGAATTAGGCTTGAATTGAGATGCATGGTACAACAGACATATGGCTGGCATTGTGTTAACCGGTCATGTTCCAGGTGACTTGCTGCACGGTCTGTTAACCATAGCATTTCATCATTCATGAGGTTAGACCCATTGTGGGTTTTTTTTTTGGTTTGATTGGTATGAATTGGGGAATCACCAAGGCAAGCTTTCGTGCTATAAAGCATAGTTTCTGCAATAGTATTTACCTCCCTAAATAAATAGAAACATGATTGAAAATCCCAACGAGCCATGCGTTCTCATCCTGCAGGTTCAAAATTGTGATAGAAAGTGGTTCTGCGTATATTTTTAATTCGGAAATTAATACACAAAAATAAGTCCTGCACTCAAAATAAGCCCTTTTAAGGGGAAACACCCTATGCATTAAAAGGCCAGGACTAATTAAGCCTATATGTACAGGTGATACTCGAAAAATTAGAATATCGTGCAAAAGTTCTTTTATTTCAGTAATGCAACATAAAAGGGGAAACTAATATATGAGATGGACGAATTACATGCAAAGCAAGATAGTTCAAGCTGTGATTTGTCATAAGTGCGAAGATTATGACTTACAGCTCACGAAAACCCCAAATCCACAATCTCAGTAAATTAGAATATTACATGCAATCAATAAAACAAGGAGTGTACATAGAACAATATCGGACCTGTGAAAAGTATAAGCATGCATATGGACTCAGTACTTGGTTTGGGCCCCTTTTGCAGCAATTACTGCCTCAATGCGGCGAGGCATGGAAGCTATCAGCCTGTGGCACTGCTGAGGTTTTATGGAAGACCAGGATGCTTCAATACCGGCCTTCAGCTTTTCTGCATTGTTTGGTCTCATGTCTCTCATCTTTCTCTTGGCAACCCAAATCAACACAGACTGTGCAAACTTCTCACTGGACTTCAAGCATCTTGCAGTGTGTGCCTCTCCATTCTTCCTCCAGACTCTGGGTCCTTGGTTTCCAAATGAGATGCAAAAGTTTCTCTCATCAGAAAAGAGGACTTTGGACCACTGAGCAACAAACCAGGTCTGTTTTTCTTTAGCCCAGGTTAGACGCTTCTGACGTTTTTTGTTGTTCATGAGCGGCTTGACAAGAGGAATACGACATCTGAAGCCCATGTCCAGGATCCGTCTGTGTGTGGTGGCTCTAGATGCACTGACTCCAGCCTCAGTCCACTCCTTGTGAGAGTCCCCAACACTTTTGAATGGCCTTTTCCTGACTATCCTCTCCAGGCTGCGGTCATCCTTGCTGCTTGTGCACCTTTTTCTTCCACACTTTTCCCTTCCACATAACGTTGTATTAATGTGCTTTGATACAACACTTTTTCTGATGGTTTTCTGTACAACTGTCAGGTCAGCAGTCTTCCCCATGATTGTGATTCCTACTGAACCAGACTGAGAGATCATTTAAAGGCTCAGAAACCCTTTGCAGATGTTATGGCTTACTTAGCTGATTAGAGTGGGACACGGTGAGCCTAGAATATTGCACCCTCTTCACAACATTCTAATTTACTGAGATTGTGGATTTGGGATTTTCATGAGCTGTAAGCCATAATCATCGCACTTATGACAAATGACGGCTTGAACTATCTTGCTTTGCATGTAATGCGTCTATCTCTTATTATTAGTTTCCCCTTTTACGTTGCATTACTGAAATAAATGAACTTTTGCACGATATTCTAATTTTTCGAGTATCACCTGTATATTGCAGATTTAGGTGTTTAGCACTTCCTCTCATCACTTACTTAGGCATGGGAGTTTGTTCTGATTTTTTATTTACATTTTTTTCTTTTATGCCTATTTAGTAAGTCTCACAAGGAGAGAGCCTTTCTTTATTTTATTTTACTTTATCCGTCTGTCTACTTTTAATTATTAGGGCTGCCAATCTTTTAGACTGTAGAATATTGCATATTCTATGTTTCTATTGATTATATATGGATGTGTGGATTGACATAAGTAACAGATGGTCTAAGTCGGCAAGTTGAGTTGATGCCAAAGAGTCCGATTTAGGTCTCATCTGACCACAGCACTTTCCCCCAGTTCTTCTTTGAATCGTTCAGATGTTCATTGGCAAACTTCAGACGGGCCTGTACATGTGCTTTCTTGAGCAGGGGGACCTTGCGGGCTCTGCAGGAGTTCAGTCTTTCACGGCATAGTGTGTTAACAATTGTTTTCTTGGTGACTATGGTCCCAGCTGCCTTGAGATCATTAACAAGATCCTCTCATGAAGTTCTGGGCTCATTCCTCCCCGTTCTCATGATCACTGAAACTCCACAAGGTGAGATCTTGCATGGAGCACCAGACCGAGGGAGAGTGAAAGTTATTTTGTGTTTCTTCCATTTGCAAATAATCACAGTAGCTATTGTCACCTTCTCACCGAGTGGCTTGGCGATTGTCTTGTAGCCCATTCCAGCCTTGTGTAGTTCTACAATCTTGTCCCAGACATCCTTGGACTGCTCTTTGGTCTTGGCCATGGTGGAGAGTTTGGAATCTGATTTATTGCTTCTGTGGACAGGTGTCTTTTATACAGGTAATAAGCTGAGATTAGGAGCACTCCCTTTAAGAGAGTGCTCCAAATCTAAGTTTGTTACCTATATAAAGGACACCTGGGAGCCAGGAATCTTACTGATTGATAGGGGATCAAATACCTATTTTACTCATTGACATGCAAATCAATTTATAACTTTTTTGACATGCCTTTTTCTGGATTTTTGTTTTTGTTATTCTGTCTCTCACTGTTAAAATACACCTACCATTAAAATTATAGACTGGTCATTTCTTTATCAGTGAAAAAACGTTCAAAATCAGCAGGGGATCAAATACTGTAGACACATACACATACAAACACACACTCATAAATACAGACACTTACTAACATTCACACATATACCATACAAATACGAACACACACTCATACAGACAGAAACATACTAACACTCACACATACGAACACATACTCATACAGACACACATACTTATATGTTAACACACATACAGACAAACAGTCATACATACAAGTATGAACTAATAGACACACGTCTCAGTTGCCTTTATTGTGTGAACATTAGTTGTCACTTGTGTCTCTCTTGTAATCCAATTTCCCTAAGCGTCCACTAGTTGTCCCTCTTTGTACATTTTTGTCCCTATTTTTCTTCATCTTCCATACCACATATTTACTTGCAGATTGCACAGCCAGGGGATGTGTTTACTGGATCCAGTTTCTGGCTAGTGGTCAGTCCCTTCTAAATTCAGGCTGCACTGCTATAAATTTAGCAGCCATGGGCTGACAGTTCTATATAACCCAAATTGTACACTTCCATGCATGCAAACAGATTAACTCATGCAGTGCACCATGAGTATCCTGAGCAGTTTGACTTGTATCTGTAGAAAATGTATCTCTACTTGCATCCAGACTGCAGGGTGCCTCAGAGCACCAGGTCCAACTCTGGTGGCCTGCCAAAGGGTGGGCCTGACAAGAATGAGCGAAAGCCTAACTATGCACAGATGTACAGACTTAGGCAGGCAAGGAAAATATGTTTTGTTTGGTAGTTAGAAGATTGGACATATACAGATGAAAAATAATTAGGACATCAGAAAATACTTGTTTATAGAAGAGCTGTTGAAGCGTGGAATGGGATTTCTGTAAATGTTCAAATTAATTCGAACAGGAGAGCGCAAAGATAATAATAGTAAAATAAAATACCTTATGATAAAAATAAATAAAAATCAAGTTAAGCGGCTATACACAAAATAAAGTTCCTTAAAAGTCTTTATCTAAATACAATTTATTGTAAATGTTGCAGAGCATAATAATCTGGGAGCGTTGCAGAAAGGTTACAATAGAGAGGATGTTGTCATGTGCAGGAATGTCAATCAAAAACAAAGTTTGTGTTTTTTTAGAAAAAGCTACCCTGTTTGGGACAGTTAGCATTTATCGTATGTCAAAATGTTTCGATAGCTTGTTTACGGGTGTGTTTAAGAAAACTTTGTTTACGAATGTTACATGGATAGAAATATTAAACACACTCAGGAGAAGCACAGCTATGCCATCTGCTGGCTTTGTTTCAATTGTCAGGGTGCTACATTCAATATAGCATGATAATGACAGTGAAACGTTGAACGGTTCTCGTGTAGTGGGATTTTGTACTTGGGGCATCCAACTAATATTACCATCTGCTTAGGTGATTTCCAAAGTTCAATCCTGAGTTCTCTGATGATAAGGGGCTCTGGACGGAGGACTCAAAGAAAATCTGCCTTTCACAACAAATATGTGCTTTTAGAGAGCGTATGTTTCACCGTGCGTTTTCTATAGGCAGTATGATACACCATCACTAGGGAGGCTAGTAATAGAATGATGTATAGACCTACATAAAGGAGCACTTCAAGCACCTTAGCCACTTCATCTCAATTAATTGATTATGGTGTCTGGAGCCCCCACCCCATCCTGGTGTAATCTTTCCTTTTAGTGTTAAACCATTTTCAAACCGTTTACCATAAAAGTTTAGCTTGAACAGTAAAGTATTGTCAGTAAAGGGCTGAGAGTGTCAACTGGCCTCCCATTGCGGGTTAAGCTAAAAATATATACGTACCTTTACTTTCATTAATATGAGAACTACCAGTCAGGGATAGGATAAAAACTACGTAAGTTCCATCAGACTCCTTTGATTGTAAAACACCTTTCCTCCAGCTTTTAAAAAAAAAAAAAACCTTATACACAACTGGGTAATCCTTAAATCCTAGACTGCTAGGGGAGAGTGAGGACTGGATTCAGAACCACTTTTTTAAACCATGGAACACCAATATATTAGACATATACTGACATTGCTAACATCTAGAGGGTTTTATCTTCCACATAAGAAATTCAGTTAGATTAAAAATGTCTCCCCTTGTTCCATAATATTAAGTCTAGAATTCAAGAGAAACACTAGGTTTAGTGTAAAGACAATGTTACGGGGTGAAGATTCCAAAGTTGATACTTTCCATCCATTGACCTGATGACTGTTGGCCCTTACTGTCTCTAAAAGGTCACAAAAAAGGACCAACAATGTCAGAATTCAGGCTTGCCCTTCCACTCCTACCAATTACAACAAGAAAGCGGGTTGACCAAAAAGAGGTCCACAACAGAAGAATAACTTTCCATTAAATTCTGTACCATACCTGTATTGTTGAGTATATTCTTTGAAAATGTAACCTGGTAGCTACATGGTCATTCCCGTGGCACTCAGCAGATACCCAAAGATGAGAAATGACTAAATGTATTCTCCCTTGTTAAATACTTTTGATATATAAAATGACTTGGTACCTAATTTGATTCCTCTCATAGTCTTACTCATTGAGTTTGTTTTTTTAATCCCTAGCATGTCAAAGACATAATTCTCCAATCTAATCCACTGCTTGAAGCATTTGGCAACGCTAAGACTGTCAGGAACAACAATTCCAGCAGATTTGTGAGTCAATCGTCCCCATTAATGTATATACATATATTTTATATAATAAAGTGAAACTCATGTGAATATTATGAAACTGAAATATACTTTTTGGGATTTTTGGATCACGCAAACCTACTTAATTTGCATAGTCCGTAGGTTTGAGTGATCCAAAAATTTATGAAAGTAATGGTGAATACATACAGCTAACAAGTATGTAACTTCTCTCACAGGGTAAATATTTTGAGATCCAGTTCAGCCGCGGAGGAGAGCCAGATGGAGGCAAAATTTCAAACTTTCTCCTGGAGAAATCCCGTGTGGTTAATCAAAATGAGAGTGAACGCAATTTTCATGTTTTCTATCAGGTGAATAGCATGCTTTTTACAGCTCTCATCCGAAACCAAATATTATGTACATTGGATTTTCTTGTCAACCTATTGTTCAAGTATAACAAACACGTGAATTCCAAATTTCAAATAGCTGAACTGGAAAAAAATCAGTAATACTTTAAGTTTCGCCTACTTTGACCTCAAATTTTTAATTTACTTTGAAATGTATAAAAAACAAAAAACAAAACAAAACAAAAAACTTTCAGTAGTATATTCCCAATGCCAGTTGGGTGTCTAGTGCACGAGGACAGGCTGTAGCACAGCATTGAACATTTTAGTACTGGCATTTGCCTGTTACTTGACAAATATGATGTGCCTGTTGATACCAACCGGATTTGGGTCCCATGCCCAATGTTAAAATTACTTGATGTAGATTGCAGTGAACACTGCAAGAAAGGGGGCTATGGGGTAAAAACAAAATCCACCATCAGGGTATATCGATCCACTATAGAAGCTGGTGGTGGATTTTGGTTTTACTCCTAAGTCTTTCTTTTTGCATGCTTCCATAGGTGGGTGGAAGAGATACCCACAAGAGTGTAGTAGCGGCTGCCATATTTTACATCTATACACAGTGTTAAGCACCTTTTTTTGTTCATGACAGTGAACATTATTCTGTTTTGCAAGTTATTTGCATTTCCCATTACTTGGGCAGTAGCAGGGTATTAGTGATGTTTGAAAATTACCACGGACGGAATTTTTATGTGTGTTGTTAAAGGAACACTGGGGCAACATTTCAATCAATGTTCAATCATGATGAAGCAATCACCTTGGAAACCAATATAGTGTATCTGTCAAATATACTAATGTCCATGATGATTACTGCAATAAAGACCACCAAATAAATTGTTGTTTAGTAAATCAGAGATAGACCAGCACAAACTACGGCTTTTAATAAGCTTGATAAAGATCCTATTACTGGGTCAAAATGTTCCTGCTGTGAATGCACAATAAAGGGAATTTATAAGTACTGAGGAGTGCATAACCATTTGTTTTCTATGGACCCAATAAAATTTAAAATTTACTGAGCACCATGGGGGACGTGCCAGGAACACTTTAATGTAGAACCAACTTATTCTCTGCATCCCTCTTTCAGTTTCTTTGGAAACTTCTGCATTAGCTTGGGGTAGTTTGGTATATGTATTGTTTTTTTTTTTTTAAATTCTATATTCATCTTCAGGAAGTAAATGACAAAATACAGCCAATGACAGCCTTGCAATAGTAACGAAGCACACTTGTACATCACCATCTGACATTTTACAAATACAAAGGTAAAACAACCTTCACAATAGCCACAGACACCAAGACTTGCACCCCAAATACAAAGAAACCTGCCGGTCCTGTTAAAACTCCCATGGGTCCCATACCTTCTTAAAGGGGCACTGTAGTCACTATAACCATTTCATCTGTTCACAGGCACTGTCCCTCCTTTCAATGATAAACCATTTTTGAGCAGTTTAACCCTTCTGGAGGTGTGGCTAAGGCAGAGATTGCACAGTTCCTTTTTGTCATACCCGTTATACCGTCAGTGGGAGTTTTGATAGGCTAAAAGCAGTCAGCTGACACTCTCAGCCAATCACAGCTGCCTATTGCTGCTCAGACTAGTACTTCCTCATTAGCCCAAGCAGCACAGAGGGGATGGACCGCTGGGGACTCTTGTTTAGCATTAAAACATAAAAACATTACAAACTGTTTAATGCTGAATAAGGGGACTGCAGACAGTATAACCAGTTTATTGAGAAGAAGCAGACAGTTCATACAGTGTCCCTTTAAAGTAAGGCAGATACTTATGAATCAGAGGTGTGAGCTTATCCATGAGGTGGCCATATACTATTTTGAGAATAGCCACAGTCATAGAAGGGATGTTGTCTCGCAGCCTTGGTTGTGCTAGAGCCCTCCTGGATGTCAGGGTAATCTTGTTCACAAATGTCTGTTCTTTGGAGAGCTTGTTGTGTTTTTGAACAAAGAAAATCACACACCTGCTTTTTACATTTTTTTTATATTAGTATTTTTAAGCAACAAACAGGTGGTAATTTTGGTTCACCCTAACGGAGCTTGCAGTCTATGCCAACTCAGTTCACCATAGGACACAAATGTGTTTTTTTTTCACGTTTGCAGCTCATAGAAGGAGCATCGCAGGAACAAAAGCAGAACTTGGGTATCATGCCAGTTGATTACTATTTCTACCTAAATCAATCAGACACTTATAAAGTGGATGGGACAGATGATAAGAGTGATTTCTCCGAGATGCTGGTAAGTCATTAATTTATTTATTAAACATTCATAATGCTTGTAATAAGCCACCTTTTTTTATCATGACTTTAAATGTAAAAGAAGAATGATTGCAGCAGAAGTAATATGTATATTTTATTTCTACGTTCTATGTACATAAATTGTATTCGTGCCCCCCACAAGTTGCATCAATATGGAAATTAATGGCAAAACTTGCACATAAGTGCTGGCAGTTTCAAATTAGTCATGTCTAATCTGTCTAAACTGTAAGGAAAAAAAAGCAATGCTTAGTCTTTTGAAGAAGTAAAAAATGTGATAAATGTTTCAGCTAGTTATTGCACCGCTTTAACCCCTTAAGGACCAAACTTCTGGAATAAAAGGGAATCATGACATGTCACACATGTCATGTGTCCTTAAGGGGTTAAACAAGATAAAGTAGTGTAATAATGTGCAACCTTTTATTGTGACATCAAAAGTAGAAATATTACTTCTTAACTACACTGAGTTAAGATTTCTTCTTAGATCAGCAAATTGTTATCCAACATTTTAACTCTTTTTACCTGAATATTAAAGGGATGCTCCAAGCACAATGACCACTTCAGTCACTTAAAGTAGTTATGGTTTTAGGAGTCAGTATGTGCAGTGTTTCACCTTGAAACACTGCACATACAGAGATAATTTTAATTGTATGCTGCGGGCTAGTTTCACCTCCGGAAAATGGAACTTACGCAGCCCAAGACTCTATTGCAGACTGCCGGCGAAGTGATCCAATCACAGGTTTCTCCATGAGAAACCTGTGATTGAACCGCGCGAGGTTCATGAGACGTCAGATCATGGAGGCGTAAAAGTCAGTGCCGAATGCTTTGCCTGGCGCTGAATTCCAGGTAACTTAAACTTTGTTTTTGTGGGCTATTTTATTTCACATGAATACCAAACAAATGGATTTTTGTTTGGTATTGGACTCGTTTTCCTGGCACTATAGTGCCCTGAGGGTGCCCCCACCCTCAGGGACCCCTTCCCGCTGGGCTCTGGGGAGAGGAAAGGGGTTAAAACTTACCTTTCTCCAGCGCCGGGCGGGGAGCTCTCCGCCTCCGATCTTCCTCCTCTCCTCCCTTTCGAATGAATGCGCACGTGCGGCAAATGCTGCGCACGCATTCAGCCGGTCTCATAGGAAAGCATTTACAATGCTTTACTATGGACGCTTGCGTGTTCTCACTGATTTTCACAGTGAGACTCACGCAAGCGCCTCTAGCGGCTGTCAATGAGACAGCCACTAGAGAATTTGAGGGCTGGATTAACCCATTTATAAACATAGCAGTTTCTCTGAAACTGCTATGTTTATAAAAAAAATGGGTTAACCCTAGCTGGACCTGGCACCCAGACCACTTCATTAAGCTGAAGTGGTCTGGGTGCCTAGAGTGGTCCTTTAATGCTGCAGATTTGTTTAGTTCATTACCATCACATGGTACATTCACACTTGCTCTTAAAATTTTATTTTATCCATTTTCTTCCCTCTTTGCTGGCTTTGCCTCTTTTCTTGGAATTTACGTGACCTGCTGAAACTCAGAATGCCATGCAGGTCATTGGTATCACTGGGGAAGCACAACAGATGGTCCTACAGATTACTGCTGGTATCCTGCACTTGGGGAACATTAGTTTTCTGGAGCAAGGAAACTACGCCAAGGTGGAAAGCCCTGACCGTAAGTCATTCTGCTTTTGTGTTTAGAGAGTGCGTACATTAGACATGCGTGGAGGAAAGATTCTAGATAAAATAATTTTAAAGATAAAAAAGGAAAACGTACCAGCACAACTTAAGCTTTTGTTAACAATAAATTGCTGTGATTAGTTTATTTTAAAAAGCAATCACATATACAGTATATATATCCATACATTTAGAGACACAGAAAACAAGGCTATAAATTGTGGAAAGACTTTAAGGGATACTATAGTGCCAGGAAAACAATCCCATTTTCCTGGCACTATAGGGTTAATAGCTGTCCCCCCCCCCCCACTCTCTGCAATGGCCATGAGCGCATTAGACCTCCTTATAGGAAAGTATTATTCAATGCTTTGCTATGGAGAAAATCTGACGCTGGAGGTCCGTGAGGGTGTCCAGCTTCAGATAACGGACCAAAAGTCAGTTTGGATTCCGGAAGCTCTTTAGAGGTAGACAGCCACTGAGGGCAGACTTAGAGCTGAATGTAAACATTGCAGTATTAAGTGAAAAAGGGTCACAGCATCCAGACAAATTCAATTAGCTGAAGTGGTCTGGGTGCCTATAGTGTCCCTTTAAAGCTTAAAACAAGTTACACAGTTAGATAGTTTGTTATAAAATTAACCAGATACATTAAACTTTGCGATTATACGAAAGAAAGGGGTTGCAGTGTGAAGGGTACAATAGTTATGTTATAACATTGATACAATTCTCTGTGTCTTTTTCAGACTTGGCCTATCCTGCCTACCTGCTGGGCATAAACCAGGACCGTCTCAATGACAAGATCACAAGTCGTAAGATGGACAGCAAGTGGGGGGGACGTTCTGAATCCATTACTGTCACACTAAATGTGGAGCAGGCCACTTACACACGAGATGCTCTCTCCAAAGCCCTCTATGCAAGGGTCTTTGATTACCTTGTCGAGGTATGCAAACTAAGATGCTGACGTATGTTAATGACTTGTTGTTTTGTGCAAATGTTAAAGGAACACTATAGTGCCAGGAAAACAAACTAGTTTTCCTGGCACTATAGGGTTATAAGATAACTAGCGCCGGGCTCCCTCAGCGCTGGTGACCTCTCCTCCTTCTGCAGACGTCAGCTCCGAAGAGGAGACAGCCACTAGAGGCTGGATTAACCCTCAATGTAATCATAGCAGTTTCTCTGAAACTGCTATGTTTTCAGCTGCTGGGTTAACACTAGGGGGACCCGGCACCCAGACCAATTCATTGAGCTGAAGTGGTCTGGGTGCCCATCGTGGTCCTTTAAACATTTGACCATGGTTTGTTTAATAATGGTGCCCTAGGCAAGTACCTGCAATATTGTATAGGAAATCTCCCACTACTGCTCTCAAATCGATAACCTGTTGATCTCAACTACAGATGGAATTCTCTATCAAAATCCATCATTCAAACTGCTTTTTCTTAGCTTTAATACTGAACTTACATATGTTGGTAACATTTTTGGTGTTTAAACTATCTGAAACGTAATAAATAGTAATACACTATAACTATTGGAGACTTCTCTGTGTGCACTTACCTTGAAGTGTGAAGATAACAAAATAGACTTAAAGGAACACGATAGTGTTAGTAATACTGTACTGTAAAAAACTGTATTACTAACACTGTAGTGTCCCTCTGCCTCTGCAGCCCCCTTTACCTGATTCCAATGTGGAGGTCCCTTGGAGCTGGATTGAGCTCCTCCTCCTGCGTCGTCATTGTGATGGAGGAATCTAATGCACCTGTGTGGCGGGCGCTCATTAGGCCTTCCCTATAGGAAAGCATTGAATTAATGCTTTCCTATGGGGTTTATCAAGACGCTGGACATTCTCATGTAAAGCGTGAGAACGTCGAGCATCGTTTCACTGAAGTAAACGCTGTGTGAATCGAGGACGCGCCTCTAGTGGCTATCTGAAAGATAGAGGCAGTCTAGACCAATAGAGGAAGTCTTGACCCTGTAATGTAAATATTGCAGTTTCTCTTAAACAGGGTTAAGGGGCCAGGGGCACTGCACCCAGACTACTTAATCTCCATGAAGTGGTCTGGGTGCCTATTGAGTCAGTTTAATGAAAATACCAAAGAAGGAAATTTAAAGAGCATATACCCTGTGACGAGAGCAATCTCGCCACATTGCATTGGAGAAGCCTGGTTGCTCGCCTGCTGCCTTTGGACTATGGCCCCATGTTAAAAGACTTTGTTTCCACTGCAGAAAAGACTTATTCGTGCTTTTCTGCCCGGTGTTCGGTAGATTCAATCTACCGAACAACCGCAAGAATGACTAGACCACCTGGGAGCTGGAGTGTGCCGGCAATTAACCTCCCTGAAGCTGCGGTTAACCGCAGCTTAATTGACGAATGCTGAGTGGCCGCCATTCGTATAACAAGCACGAGGTCGTGGCCATTTAAACACGCGAACGCACAGCGGTGTTCGACGCTTAATTCATGGAACTAAAATCGGACACAGTTTTGCGCAAACACCGCTGAAGCCGCCGACCTCCCTTCTTGTTCGGTGAAAGTGCACGAACGTCCCGGTGCTCGGTAGTTTTACTTGAATATGTTATACCCCAGATAGGAATCCCATGGAGCCCATTCGCATGAGAACTGACTGTGTAAAGACTTTGGCTCCATGGCAATTACACTGTATTCATGTGGTCTGAGCACCATTCGCTTAATAATGTGCGCTCAGACCTGAGCTATCTGGGGATATGTTAAATGTATAGTTTTATTGTAACTTGTGTCCTACTGTGTATTTTAATAGTAATTCCTGTGTTAGTATCCCCACGTGCATAATGGCGATTTGCCTTTGTCTTGGGAGATAATTTAATTACTTCTCAATTATCTCCAAGGCAGAGGGGAGGAAGCCAGGATGCATTGTGGGAATATAATGTGACTGTGTGTCCTATTTGTCTACTTGTCTGTCTTTTGTCACAGTCTCGCATTTGGTCCCCTAGGGGAGTGTCCACCAGGTGGGAGACCTGCATAAATACTGGGCAGGTAGCCCTCATTAAACAGACCACTGCTTGACCCCCAACACGGAGCCTTGTCTCGTCTTTGGGGGGATTTACTGAACGCTGATAGAGACTGATTGCTAGTGTGAGTGTAAGCCGCTTGGATGCTTTTCCTATTCGTCTGCTAGCAGCGATTCGTATGGTTCCAGTTCATGTGTTTGGAGTGCTATATTGTATGCCGTGGAGTTTGGAGCATTCCCTTATTTGCTGTTCTGGAATTTGGTGTTCTACAGTAGCTGTGCCTGCATCTCTGAAAGGTGATGATCGCCTAAACGGTTTTTACCCCTTGTGTGCAAAACGGTCCGTTACAATTGGTGGCAGAAGTGGGATTGTTCCCACAGACAAAAGGACAGCTACAGGCGACACCATTCCGTGGATTTTTACAATTTGAGGGCAACGCATGTCTGAGTACAGCGACCCTGACAGCACCAGGATGGAACCAGCAGTGGCGTACAGCTACTCTAGGAGAGAGTTTGATAATATGATGGAATTGCGGCTGAAGTTCTTTGGACCCAATCCACCGGAGAAATACATGCAGTCCATGAGGAACCTAGTATTCAAGCATCTGCAACACTGGGCAGAAAGAGAAGGTCAGCTTGCACGTTGGGAGGAACTCCAGCGGCAGGTACTGCAGGGAATTGGGAGCCCAGTCTCCATTCCCCAGCGGCAGTGTGATATGCAGGGAATTGGGAGCCCAGTCTCCATTCCCCAGCGGCAGGTACTGCAGGGAATTGGGAGCCCAGTCTCCATTCCCCAGCGGCAGGCTGAGTTACAGGGGGCAGAGACAGGTGGTCCTGTCCCCCAGCGGCAGTGTTCCTTGCAGGGAGAGGAGAGCAGCGTCCTCCCTCCCCAGTGGCAGGGTGAGCTACAGGGATGCTGGGCAGTCGGCTCAGATCCCCAGCGGCAGTGTGATATGCAGGGAATTGGGAGCCCAGTCTCCATTCCCCAGCGGGAGATATTGCAGGGAATTGGGAGCCCAGTCTCCATTCCCCAGTGGCAGAGTGTCCTACCGGGAATAGAGAGCCCAGTCTCCTTTCCCCAGCAGCAGGAGTCTGTATTGGGAGCAGAGACAGTCGGTCTCCCTCCCCTGCGGCTGGAAGTATGTATGGGAGAGGAGCTTGTTACCCCCTCTCCCCAGCGGCAGCTTAATGTACCAGGGGGAGACAGTAAGCCCCACAACTGTGCAGATGGGACCGTGGTCTCTGCACGTACAGCACGGGGGGTAGGGACGGTCGGTTCTGCCCTCCAGCGACAGGGCTGTTTAGCCAAAGGGGAGACAGTCGGTCTCCAGCAGCAGAGCTGTGTGTCTAAAGGGGAGACAGTCGGTCTCCAGCAGCAGAGCTGTGTTTCCAACGGGGAGACAGTCGGTCTCCAGCAGCAGAGCTGTGTGTGTCTAAAGGGGAGACAGTCGGTCTCCAGCAGCAGAGCTGTGTTTCCAAAGGGGAGACAGTCGGTCTCCAGCAGCAGGGCTGTGTATCTAAAGAGGAGGCAGTCGGTCTCCCCCTCCAACAACCAGGCTTCAACCAGGCTACCTTCCCAGTAGCGCTGGCAACAGGGCAGAGTACCGCTGGTCTCTGCCCACGCAGCAACCCGCCAAGTCAACATACCCGTACCCAGCACAGCCGTGGTGAGGCACCTGGACATGGACAAGCTTCTCCTCTACCCAGGTGTAATAACCATTTATTGTGGGTGGGCTGTGCTGTTGATTGTGTTTTGTGGGTGGGCTGCTGGACTAACAAGGGCACTGACCGGCTTACACTCCTAGCAGTCAAACTGGAACAGCATACAATAAATCCTCCCCCAATAATGAGACGACACTTCACTTTGAGGGTTAAGCAGGAACTCCTGTGCTGGCACACCCAGCCTGGTTTTTATTACAGTCTTTCACATACAGGACCGCCCACAGGGAGGTATAAAACAACCAATCACATATCAGTTACATCCCACATATTCCCTCCCCTTATCCTAAAGGAAACTCAATTACACATACAGTTAAAACATACTTTCTACCCAACTTTCATAACTTTAAAACCATACATCACATTCACATAAAATTACATATTCACAATCAATTCATTCAGGGGAACAACATATTAAAAAATGGCATGAATTTGACCAGGGGTTCAAAAGTTAGTACAGAGCCTTCTATCCTGGAGACAATGGGGGAAAGTAATCTAATTATCCAGGGATAGAGGCAGACTCCATTGAACACATGGTTGCAAAAAGACATAAAACACTTTAAAATACATAAAGTCACCTTTTACACATAACACACAGACATTTCACATATCCCCAGATAGCTGGGATCTGAGCGCACAAAACTACCGAATAGCGCTCAGATCCTATTCACACAGTTCAATTGCCATGGAGCCGAAGTCTTTAACTACACGAATGGGCTCCATGGCATAGCTATCTGGGTTAACACATTCACATAAAGTCTGGTCCATAGTCCAAAGGCAAGAGGCGGGCAAGCAGCCCCCTCCAAGGACACGTGGCGAGGCCGGTTTCGCCACATTTCTCCCCTTTACCATCCAGACTAACAGGGTATCTGACCTCCTGCCGGTCAGTGCCCTGGTTAGTCCAGCAACCCACCCACGAAGCACAAACAGCAATACAGCCCACCCACAATAACTGGTTACTACACCTGGATAAAATAGCAACTTGTCCATGTCCAGGTGCCTCACCACGGCTGTGCGGGGGGCTGGTAGACTGCCTTGGTGGGTTGCTGAGTGGGCAGAGACCAGCGGTACTCTGCCCGGGTGCCAGCGCTACCACTGAAGTAGCCTGGTTGGAGCCTGGTTGTGGGAGGGGGAGACCGACTGTCTCCCCTCTGGATACACTGCTCTGTGGCTGGGGGACAGGACCGACCGTCCCTACCCCTGGTGCTGCAAGTGCAGAGACTACGGTCCCATCTGCATAGTTGTGGGGCTTAACATCTCCCCTTGGTGGGTTAGGCTGCCGCTGGAGAGAGGATGTAACAAGCTCCTCTCTCTGAACTGTAGACTGCCGCTGGGGAGAGGGGGTAACCTGCTCCTCTCCCTGACACTCTCTTTGCTGGTGGAGAGGGGGACCAACTGTCTCCCCTTTCAATATTTTGTCCTGCGGCTGGGGTGCGAGACAGACGGTCTCTGCTTCCTGGGGTACACACTGCCGCTGGGGAGGAAGGATGGCACCTTCAGTTCCCTGAGGTACACACTGCTGCTGGGGAGGAAGGACGACACCTTTGGCTCCCTGGGATACACACTGCCGCTGGGGAGGAAGGACGGCACCTTCAGTTCCCTGGGGTACACACTGCTGCTGGGGAGGAAGGACGACACCTTCGGCTCCCTGGGACTCACACTGCCGCTGGGGAGGAAGGACGGCACCTTCAGCTCCCTGGGGTACACACTGCCACTGGGGAGGAAGGACGGCACCTTCAGCTCCCTGGGATACACATTGCCACTGGGGAGGAAGGACAGCACCTTCTGCTCCCTGGGGTACACACTGCCGCTGGGGAGGAAGGACGACACCTTCAGCTCCCTGGGATACACACTGCCGCTGGGGAGGAAGGACGGCACCTTCAGCTCCCTGGGACACACACTGCCGCTGGGGAGGAAGGACGACACCTTCAGCTCTCTGGGATATACACTGCCGCTGGAGACGAAGGACGGCACCTTCAGCTCCCTGGGACACACACTGCTGCTGGGGAGGAAGGACGACACCTTTGGCTCCCTGGGACTCACACTGCCGCTGGGGAGGAAGGACAACACCTTCTGCTCCCTGGGGTACACACTGCTGCTGGGGAGGAAGGACGACACCTTTGGCTCCCTGGGACTCCTTTTTTGGCCAAATCTACTAGAGATTGCAGGTATTCTCCTACTAGTTTCCTGGCGAGCTGCACGGCTCTCTCTGGGGGGTTGGGTCCAAAGTTAGACAGCACCTCATTAACCTCTCTGTCAAACTCCTCCTGAGTGTAGTCATACGCCATGCTTGCTCTGCTGAAGTTAGTTCTTTTGTAGATAGGGTCGCTGTACGGGTACTAGCGTTGCCCTCAATTTGTAAATCCATGAACTGTGTCTCCGAGCTGCTTTACCTCGCACTAGGACGCCATCCCACCGCTTGCCACCAATGTAACGGATCACCTGGCACCCCGACTGGGTACCTTCGTTGAAGAATGCTCCTAGCGCTTCCTGAGGACTCCAAGCACTGCAGCAGACACCACAACCACCGAACCGTAGGAGCATATGAATGCTCTCAAGCATTTGAATGTTGTATACAGCTGAATAGGAAAAAACATGTGAATAGGTTTACACTCCTAGCAGTCAAACTGGAACAGCATACAATAAATCCTCCCCCAATAATGAGACGACACTTCACTTTGAGGGTTAAGCAGGAACTCCTGTGCTGGCACACCCAGCCTGGTTTTTATTACAGTCTTTCACATACAGGACCGGCCACAGAGAGGTATAAAACAACCAATCACATATCAGTTACATCCCACATATTCCCTCCCCTTATCCTGAGAGGAAACTCAATTACACATACAGTTAAAACATACTTTCTACCCAACTTTCATAACTTTAAAACCATACATCACATTCACATAAAATTACATATTCACAATCAATCCATTCAGGGGAACAACATATTAAAAAATGGCATGGATCCGACCAGGGTTCAAAAGTTAGTAAAAGTATATTTTGGGCCCTGGCTGGCACATGGCTATCTGGCTCAAACAGGTTTTACAGAGCCCTCTATCCTGGAGACAATGGGGGAAAGTAATCCAATTATCCAGGGATAGAGGCAGACTCCATTGAGCACATGGTTGCAAAAAGACATAAAACACTTTAAAATACATAAAGTCACCTTTTACACATAACACACAGACATTTCACATATCCCCAGATAGCTGGGATCTGAGCGCACAAAACTACCGAATAGCGCTCAGATCCTATTCACACAGTTCAATTGCCATGGAGCCGAAGTCTTTAACTACACGAATGGGCTCCATGGCATAGCTATCTGGGTTAACACATTCACATAAAGTCTGGTCCATAGTCCAAAGGCAAGAGGCGGGCAAGCCCCCTCCAAGGACACGTGGCGAGGCCGGTTTCGCCACAGTCGTGAAAAAGCATCTGGTTCCTATGGTGACGCTGTGTTAGGATGATAAAAGTGATCGTGAATCGTGAATTAAATAAAAATAAAACCAACTAGGAGGATATGTAAAGAAAATCAGTAAATAGAAATACACATGTAGATAGATATATAGTAAGAGAATACCATACAGCCCAGATCAATGGAAAGCTTATAGACAGATGGAAGAGGAGTGAGTGGTGCACGTGAGTGAAGTGAGTGGAATAAGATGGATGAAGAGTGGAGCTGAATGAAGAAAGAAAAGACCAAGAAATTGAGCATAGGAAATGGGGGAGTGTAAAGAAGGAGCGAAGAAATCGAGTGTCTCAATGAAGTGATATGTGGTGTGTGTGAAGATAATAAGTGACGTAAAAAACAGAAGTGAGGAGGTGACAAAAGAGTGTGGGCTATATACAAATCAATATACAAATATATATATATAGAGGACAGAGAGACAGCCTGGAGATGGACTTAATAAATGAAAAATATAAAATAAACATATCAATAAAAATAAAAGTGAAGGTAAATAACAAAATAAACAAAATAAAAATAATATAAATGAATCGCAAAAAACATGTATAAATAAAATTGATAATAATACAAATAAACATAAAAATAAAATAAATGTAAATATGAAAATAAAAATAAAAATAAACATGGAAGAATAATAATAAAATAAAACAATCAAAAAATAAAATAAAAAATAAAAAAATAAGACTATAAAAATAAAAAATAAAAAGATAAAAAATGTGTATATAAAAAATCCAAAGACATAAAAAATATCGAAAAATGTAAAAAGAAAAAAAAAGAAAAAAGTAAAAAGAAAACAATTGGTGAGAAAAAGGTTAGAACAAGAGGATTTCAGATTAACGTGCACCACTCACTCCTCTTCCATCCGTCTATATGCTTTCCACTGATCTGGGCTGTATGGTATTCCCTTACTATATATCTATCTACATGTGTATTTACTATTTACTGATTTTCTTTACATATCCTCCTAGTTGGTTTTATTTTTATTTAATTCACGATTCACGATCACTTTTATCATCCTAACACAGCGTCACCATATGAACCAGACGCTTTTTTACGACCTTTTCGGTCGCATTACTATGACGTCATCACGTCCTCGTCAATCCCACACGTGATTACTTGAGCACTACACTGCGTCCACATACGGATCTGGGGTGTTACACCTGCACTGGGTAAGTGATTAGCTCTTAACAATTTATGCCCTATAAATACAATTTTTTCACTTATATTTGTATCTTGACAAAGACCTCCTGGGTCGAAACGTTGATCCTCTTCAATATACATAAAGCTTGATTGAAAAATCCTCTGGAGTGCTCTCTTTATCGCTTTCCATATATATATATATATATATATATATATATATATATATTTTTTGTCTTCCACCCTGCCCCCACACACACAAAAACTTTCATATTCACATACTGCCCCACCACATATTTCCCACCCCACACACTGTACCCCTATCACACACAGTAGCCCACGCACACTGTACCCCCCCCACACACACTGTACCACACACACTGTACCCCTGCACACACACACTGTACCACACACACTGTACCCCCTACACATTCACTGTACCTCCCACACAGACACTGCACACCTCACACACAGACACTGCACACTGCACACCTCACACACACACACACTGCACACCTCACACACACACACTGCACCCTTGTCAGGGATCTTACCTAATGTGGAGTCCAGTATGCAGAGATATACGCTCACCCTTGCAAATAAACACAGACCAAGGTGACCACGTAAGAATTCACCTGGCCTGTGAGTCTGTGCACGGGGGCTGTGCAGGACAGGCAAGGACAAGCAGAAGAGTAGTAGTGGAAAGTCGAAGTCAAGGGAAGCCAGAGGTCAGGATAAACGAAGATATAAGCCAAGATCGGAAGCCGGAATCAGTTTGGAGAACACTGGATCAGGATACATTAACAGGAACCAAAGAGCAGAACCAGAGTCAATGAACTGACAAAGTTCCCAGGGTGAGGCAGTGCTTATATCCAGCTAATAATGATCTGCTACAGGTGGTCTAGATAGACAGAAGCAGCCTCGGGTAAAGTCCACCTCGTTTGGCCATCTAGATGTCACAGTGCAAACCGTGACAACCCCTAACATACACATACTGCGCCCCTCAAACACACAAATTCTGCGTCCTTCTATGCACCCCTAGCACACACACTTCACACACAGACACTACTGCCCCTATCCTGGCAGACACCATGTAAGTTGTCAAACTTTTCTAAAATGGTTTGACTACTTATTCTGGGAGGGCACCATGGCACTCCAGGCACCATAACCACTACAAAGAGCTGTAGTGGTTACTGTGCCTGGATTGTTCCTTTTAATAATCTACCAGTGCCCCTTCTGAGATTAGGTTCTGGATCCGCCCCTGCCTCATAGTGGATTATTGTGACAATTATAAGGGCCTTACTTAATCAAGGATAACACAGGTAACATGTGAACAGCTATTCAGAATGAGTGAAACAAGTAAAGAAACAAATGACAAGAGCCACAACTGGTGATGTTGGGTGAAAGATATGAGAGGAAGAAGAGAGACAGAGATTAAAAATGTAAACAAAAAAATATTGTAGACAAAAACAAAGAGTGGAATAGCGCTAAGTCAGAGGAAGGGGAGGCAGCACACCTAGATGGGTTACTCTCTCCTGAGAACCCAATGAGGACAAACAACAATACAAGACAGTAGGGTGCGCCGGGGAGTTAGGAGTAGGTGTCCTGTGTGAATTTGTTGGGATCCCAGTGACAGAGTCTTTGGACCTGTTTGCTGGCTACAGGATTCTTCTAGCCCTGGGATAAAGCAAGAGAGCTAGGCCTGAGAGCTGCAAGTGTCTTTATAAAGACAAGAGCTATAACATTGCAGGCGGATGTGGATACTAGCCTAATTTTGTTTATATATATATATATATATATACATAATTTTATATTATTTTATTAGTTATACTTTGGTTGCATAATTGAGTATTAATTCACTCCTAACTCCCTGGCGCACCCTACTGTCTTGTATTGTAATGAATTATTGTTATATGGAGAGAAAGATCAGAACAGAAAGATCAGATTTGAAGTTATTATAGTGATGTTTCAGTAACAGGTTGGAAGCTACTTCAGAAGTTATCTGGACATACCTTTAACTATGAGAAAAGAAAAAAGTAAAAGCTGTGCCAGATAAAACCAATAAGTAAAAAGAATCAACAAGTAAAATTAGTCCAAATAAAAGAGAAAGTCCAAATAAAATAAAATAAGTCTTAGCTGAATAGGTCTTCCTTAAATAGAGTAGTCTATACAATGGTGAATCAGGAACAATGTCCTCGCTGTCCTTCCTCAGGTAGATCCAATGATATGAAAAGATAAAACAGATGACCAAAATAGTGTAATATGTTCACTAGGGTATAACAGATGATATAGAAAGAATAATATTGCACTCACATTTAATAGAGCTATAGCTAGCTCTAGTATGGAAAGCGTACAGCGGTTTTGATCCCCGCTTGTAGGATATGATGCAGCTTTCTTTTCTTCAAGGGTAAATGCCACTCAAAGAGAATAAAAAGACACAACCAATAGTGCTCTCAGAATCAATAACGCGCTCTCGGACAACCACAAGGGAAACCACGACAGCATACCTTTAACTATGCATTATGAAGGAATGCCTGCTACCAATGGGTTTTTTATGGGAAGACCATTTGAGAATTTATTGAGGTTTGAGCATTTGTTGAAACTACCAACAAAGAACCTATCAAATGTTTTGGGGAGATGTTTTTGTAAAACTAATGCCTTCTACATAGATTGCTATATAATGAAATAAAATATCCCTGATTTTTGTAAGTGTATTTTGAAACCAACTCTAATATACCCATTTCTGTTCAACACTTCTGCATGACTTTTCTCATCTACAATCATACACATGACGTACCCCACTTGGACCTTTTGTACCCAAAATTTTCTATTTTGTTTGTTCCCTAGGCAATTAACAGAGCAATGCAAAAACCACACGAAGAGTACAGCATTGGTGTTCTAGATATATATGGATTTGAAATTTTCCAGGTGCGTTACTTTGTTCTTCATTACAAAAACAACAGAAAGCAGATTGGTTTGGTATGGCAGCTCAACAATGAGCCTTATTTTCTACCTATTGAATAAGTCCTTGATGGATAAACGTAATTTTTCACAATTAATATAAATATATAGTATCTATCATCTATCTCCTGGCTAATGCATGGCAGCATCACAATAGGGTTACCGCCACCGCTTGGATGTTTAGGACAGGAAATTCAATTATAAATATCCATTATATTCGATAGGTTCTCCAATTTATTTTTATTTGATGCTCACCAGACAACCTTTTTAAAACGATCAGTCAGAAGAGTTCCTTCTTACTTGATACCCATTACACACACCATTTTTTGTATGTGTTTCCATGGGTGTACCCCTTTTATTGAAAAATGTCCTGGTCTCATATATATTTCCGACGTCACAGGAACAGGCATCTAATCAGACTTTATTGACATAGAATCTGCTATTTCATAGATCCCAGGAGGTCCAAGCATCTTCACAAAAATTGCCCTGTCCACAGAGTATTTTATAACAAAAAAAAAAAATCAAAACTGAACATGTTCAGCATGTTTGATGCACAGTTTATAGTTTTGAGGCATATATAAGTACATAGCCCAACATTATTTTGCCAGTTATTACGCCTTCCCTTGATTAAAGTCTGTACCTTAATCATTAACATAAAAACTGTAACTCCAAAAGGTTAACTTTAACCTAGAAATAGTTCTCCTCTCAGTATTGCCAGTATAACTGGATTAATGGTTCCACTATAACACGTGTTATTTCAACCATAGGATATTTTTACATTCATCAATGCTACATAATGCCCTTAGAGTGAGACAGCTGAGTTTAGAGTTGTTCACTTTGGATAAATACATGACAATGCAAAAGTTGGAATGCATCAAGTAATGACTGGAGAATCACTCTACACGATTGTACTGACATGAAACAGCTTGCCACATTTTTACTGTAAAGTTTCTTAATACATATATACATGCACACACATTTATCCATTTAACTCAAGGGTCCTCTATACATTTCATGCGCTAAAAAACAATGGTTGCAGACTTTTAGGTGTACATGTTTATATTCTGTTTTTCTGCCGTTAATGTCAGTAAATAAAAGGAACAGTCAATGTATCAAACCTTACCTTCTTTTATTTGTATAAGAAACGTTTTGTTTTGTTTTTTTATTTAAATGCCTCATATTTCTCTTTTTTTTCACCCAGAAAAATGGATTTGAACAATTTTGCATCAATTTTGTTAACGAGAAACTTCAGCAGATATTCATCGAACTAACATTAAAGGCTGAGCAGGTGACGTGCCCGATTGTGACCCTGGGACTGTTGGTTCTAGGATTTAATGAAGCTTGTACAAAGGAATTGTTAAGGCACATTGGCCTACATTGGTAGCAGATGTACGGAGCATTAAGGGTTCTGTTCAAGCAATTAAGATGTCAGACAGGGTCTTGCTGACAGATCTGATTACAACTGACTAGATATATATTTTAGATGTAGATCATTTTAAAATAAGTTACAATTTAACTTCTAGACTGCATGTTCTTTTGAGCAGGGTCCTCATAAACCTATTGTTCCTGTAACATTTTGTAATTATCTCAGTTATTGTTAAATTTCTCTCTTTATCATTTTATAAAGCACTGCGGAATAAGCTGGCACTATATAAATGCCGATATTAATAACCGAATTTGTGCATGAGTCTTTCTTCCAGAATTCAGAAATAAAATCAAATATAAAAAAATACTAAGCATGCAATAACGTTATCTTTATATGTATGTGCGTAAGCATGTAGCTCACATGGTTCAGAACCTACACCAGGCTCGAATGGTTGACCAGTTGTTGGAGAGTAGATCTACGTCACAAAACATAGTGTCTCAATTGTGAAGCCTTATATTTTTTTGGGACAGCTATAGACTCCACATTTTATTATTATTATTATTATTATTATTGCCATTTATATAGCGCCAACAGATTCCGTAGCGCTTTACAATATTATGAAAGAGGGATTTAACTATAAATAGGACAATTACAAATAAACTTACGGGAACAATAGGTTGAAGAGGACCCTGATCAATCGAGCTTACAAAGAGGTAGAAGAATCACGTTGCCTGGGAGCATCTATAACTCACATGATGCCTAATGAAATCAATTCATTAATCATGACTTCTATGAAAGTCTTGCAGCATCTTCCAGATGTTCCTCTCAAATGCCACAATACTCTTAGAAAAGCATTCTCGCTCACTGATGCCTATGGGTTCTATATATATATATACATAGGTCCACTGACGGGCATGGTTTCTTATATTGCTGCAAAGGAGATAGGTTATCTAAAGGACAATTCTCGCCTATTTGCGAAAGGCCTTTTAATGCTGTCTATGTCCACATACTATACGTGAGCAATTGTGAGTATCAGTTGTAGGACATATAGGATGACAGCCAACTGGTCGATGGGGCAACATACAGCTCTTATTTTTTCTTACATTACCACTCTACCAATCCTGGAGTATTTTAGTGCACATCCCTAACTACAAATACATTAGTATACATCCTTAAAGTACATCCTTAAAACCTAGTGAAAGCTAAATGTACACTTCTTGGCCGAAAAAGTTGATATTATAATTATAGGAACTGTGTAGTAATCATAATGTATCATTGTGGAGTTTGATGCTATTTGTTAATCCTGGAATAACATAATCTACATTTTTATTTACCATTATACTCACTTGCACAATAGTAATAATTTACACAATTAAGCTGGCTTTTTCGATAACATTGAAAAAAAATTTAGAGCTCAGCTCGTGATTTCTGCACTTTACGTGGTGCCTATTGTACAAAATTCCATTTAGTTGCAAAAGATATTGTGTAATATTTACATGTTTAATGATTCCACACTAATCTTCGTTATATTTTCACAGGAAGAGTATGTGTCTGAAGGTATAAAGTGGACTTCCATTGAGTATTTTAATAACAAGGTGGTGTGTGACCTGATTGAGAACAAACTGGTGAGTATAAAATGCACACAGTAATGCCTAAAGGGGGCAAAGGTTAACGGATACAAAGCCTTAAGCTACAATTAGTGTCACTCAAAGACAGTTTTTGTCATAAAAGGAGCACAATGGCAAGCATAAGCTTGTTTCGCTTCAGTGACATCATTTCAATAAGTGACAGCATTAAAAGTCTAAATCCCAGGGAACTACCAATCTGTGACACTCCAGCATCTATTGTACAAATCTTTAATGATGATTTTAAATTATTTAACTATTTTTTAAAATATGATATAATATTCAGTCTCAAATATTTCATTATTTTCCCATAATACACACTTTCATATATATATATATAGAGAGAGAGAGAGAGAGAGAGAGAGACAGAGAGAGACAGAAAGAGAGAGGGAGAAAGAGAGAGGGAGAGAGAGAGGGGTGAGAGGGAGAGAGAGAGAGAGAGAGAGGGCGAGAGGGAGAGGGGGAGAGAGAGGGGAAAGGAGGTAGAGAATGAGAGAGGGAGGGCAAGAGGGAGAGGGGGAGATGGGGAGGGTGAGAGGGAGAGGGAGAGATGGAGAGAGAATGAGTGAGAGAGGGAGAGAGAAAGAGAGAGAGAGGGAGAGAGGTAAAGATGGAGACATGGAGAGAGGGAGAGAGAGAGGGAGAGAGGAAGGAGGGAGAGAGGGAGGGAGAAAGAGAGGGCAAGAGGGAGAGAGAGAGAGGGAGGGTGAGGTGGAGAGGAGGAGGACAGGGGAGAGGGAAGAGGGGAAAGGCGAGAGGGAGAGGGGGGAGAGAGAGAGGCAGAGATGGAGAGAGAGAGGGAGGAGAGAGAGAGGGAGAGAGGGAGAGACAGAGAGAGAGAGGGAGAGAGGAAGGAGGGAGAGAGGGAGGGGGAGAGGCAGAGACAGAGGGAGGGCAAGACGGAGAGGGTGAGGGCGAGAGGGAGGGGGAGAGAGAGAGAGAGACAGAGGGAGAGACGGAGAGAGAGAGGGAGAGGGAGGGAGAGAGGGAGAGCGAGAGGGAGAGAGGGGGAGAGGGGAGGGGAGGAGAGGAAGAGGGGGAGAGAGAGAGAGGGACAGATGAGAGAGAGGGAGAGAGAGAGAGAGAAAGTGAGAGACGGAGAGAGGGAGAGACGGAGAGAGAGATAGAGCAAGGAGGGAGAAAAGGAGGGAGAAAGGAAGGGAGGGAGAGATGTAGAGAGAGATAGAGCAAGGAGGGAGAAAAGGAGGGAGAAAGGAAGGGAGGGAGAGAGAGTGAGGGAACGAAAGAAAGAGAGAGGGAAAGAAAGAAAAAAGAAAGAAAGAAAGAAAGAAAGCTAAAATAAACAGGCGTAGCATGATTATTATTATTTTATTATTTATATATAGGACTCTTAGCTTCTATGTGGGCTCATCTTAACCATCTTAAATACATGAATATATGTGTTAAGCTTAATTTACCAATATTGATCAGGATGAATTTTTATTGAATGTTCTTCCAGAATCCACCAGGTATCATGAGTGTGCTGGATGACGTATGTGCCACCATGCATGCCACAGGTGGGGGAGCTGATCAGACCCTATTACAGAAGCTTCAGGCCGCTGTGGGAACCCACGAACATTTCAACAACTGGAACTCTGGTTTTGTTATACACCACTATGCTGGGAAGGTACACAACCTCCCCCCATACTTGAGATACAAAATGAGAGATATGTTAAGAAGTTCTTCCTGGGGAAACATTTTCCAATTCAGTCAATAACATACGGGACAGCGTGTGTAAGGTTAAAAAAAGAAATAATTATTTGCATTACATAATGTTCTAGAGTTAAAGTGTATAAAAGATGGAGTCAATGTGTTAATGAGGTTCTATTAGTTAAGGTAGAGTAATGTAATGGGTGGATGTTGAGTTTAAATGGAAGGACAGTGTTAGTATATGATCTGATTTGTGAGTTGGCTTGTGGAATTAGTTGTGTTATTTTCATCTCTCCTTCTCTCTTGCCTTCAATCAGGTCTCTTACGATGTGGAAGGCTTCTGTGAAAGGAATCGAGATGTTCTGTTTAATGACCTTATAGAATTGATGCAGAGCAGTGAACAGTAAGCTAGAGTTCATGTACAGAATATATTTCTTTCATTCATCAAAGTCCTTTATGATTCACATTTGAAAGCTTACACCTAAGCATTCTTCTTCAACTATCTGCCATTCATTTATTTTCAGTTTATGTTTTTTTAGGACTAGTAGTTTGACAATGCCATTTTTTATTCTTGCACGTTTAACTGAATGGATGTTTAAGACGATGTGCTTTAGCCAGTTATGGTACATCAATAAACTGAGAACCAAGTGGCCATTAATATTGATATACAATATTGATATACACACAAGGTCTGGAGATCAAGCAGCACAATACATTAGGCATGCCAAGTCCTAAAAGATTAAAAAGCTAAAGACAATGATTTTGAAGAACCATGCGTCCATCCTAAATGTACAGCTTTAGTTCTCTTTATTTTCAGTATCTGTTTAATGTTCTGAATAATATGTTCTATCTCTGTCTAGTCAGTTCATTCAAAGCCTTTTCCCGGAAAAACTGGATTCCGATAAAAAAAGTCGTCCAACCACAGTAAGCTCCAAAATTAAGGTGAGTTGACTAATGGTCCTTTTTTGGTCCTATTCTCTCAGATTCTGTTATTAGTAGAAGAGTCATTTTCTACAATTAATTCCTCCAATTATTTAAATAGATCATAACCTGCAAGTTGTTTAATTTTAAATTAATTAATTCATTCATTAATTAAAATCTTATGTGCACCTGGTTCATGACTTTTGTGTTTCTCTAAAATTAACAAAACATAATAGCATAACGAATGTAAACAATAGTTCCCAAAAATGTGCTTTTGATGACCATGCCATTCATTTTCTTCATTTTCCCTTATTGATGCCGTAGAAACAAGCCAATGACCTTGTCAACACTCTCATGAAATGTACTCCTCACTACATCCGATGCATCAAGCCCAATGAGACTAAGAGGCCGAAAGACTGGGAGGAAAGCAGGTCAGGGGAAAGAGATGTTACCGTGTGAATATCTCTCTATTTATCCTGGTTACATCTGATGTAAATCCTATATAAATTCTTTGAATTGCAGAGTCAAACATCAAGTGGAATATCTGGGCCTAAAGGAAAATATCCGTGTGCGCAGAGCTGGCTTTGCTTATCGTAGAGTGTTCAATAAATTCATGCAAAGGTATACAAATACAAAGAGTACACATGCTGGATGATGGAGTATGTGGTAAACTTGTTGTATACATTACAAGGTTACACTAACCAAAAAATAGTATTTTAGGAAAACAATGGTTTTGGTTAGAGTAAACCTTCTTATCCTGCTACACCCCTCAAAAAAACAAACACGTAAACGTACCTCTGTTATTGTCTCAGGTGCCAATCCTCCTCTGCTGACATAACTCCCCCTAGCTGCCAGGGGAGGGATATATGGGAAAACAGGCTAAGAGGAGCTCATTGGCAGCACAGAGGCACCATGACTGAAGTGGTCAGGGTCCTCGGAGAAACTTTTTAAGGTACTTATTCACAATGCCCAGTATAATGATATTATTTGTACAATTTTGATTCCAGATATGCTATCCTCACTCAAGAAACATGGCCACGGTGGAGAGGAGATGAGCGTCAGGGGGTACAGCACCTCTTGAGGTCAGTGAATATGGATGCAGATCAGTATCAGATGGGAAGATCAAAAGTGTTTGTCAAGAATCCAGAATCGGTAGGTTTCTGAAACCACTGGTGTTTCTGTTTAGAATTTAAATTTTCAAAGGCTCGTAGCTGCATTTTATGTGATGCCAATTGGGTCATTTTATTTGCAAACTTTGCACATGCTTCTGGTATATAATGTTGATGCATCTATTTGTTACATTTAAAGGGATAATCCACTACCCAATTACGAAATAAATAAAAATCACTGTTTAGTAGATATACCCCAAAACATGCATGCATTTTATTGTGCATTTTATCATTGTGGTTATATCCAAAAATCTGCAGGTCTTTTGTCTGTTGCCACGGCAAACCCTCCCCTTCATGCCCCACCCAGACGTTCCGTGGCTGTCCAATCACAAACTTCCCAATGCAGCTCAATGAGAACTCTTTGCAAGGCATGTGCTCTGAGTAATTGCTGCATAATGAGTTTAGTTCCACTGAGCTTAACAAACCAGGAAGTAAAAGGACCGGTTGTCTGCTTGAGAGCCATGGGGTGTAATCAGGTTAATCTACAAAAGTGCCAATTTCTATTGAAATTTGCACTTTTTGCAAAATGAAAAAACGATTTCACACGTAAAGTTTTTCAGCAAGTTAAAGTGCTTTAGGGGTCTAGAGTATCCCTTTAATGAATTTCAAGGTCCATTCGAGTATGTTACCATCATACAATTATATCCATCTTATTCAGCTTTTCTTACTGGAGGAAATGAGAGAAAGGAAGTTTGACACCTTTGCTAGAACCATTCAGAAGGCATGGAGACGATACATCGCTAAGAGAAAATATGAGCAGATGAGAGAAGAAGGTATTTCCAACTCCAATGTGCTCTAAGAATGTTGCCACCACACCAAATATTGTGTATAATTGACAAGCGAGCAAAAAGTTTTGTCAAAATAGACAAACGAAAGGAAAAAAAATTCCATCTTGGGCCTTGATTTCAAATAATTTAATATTTTTGGATAAACTTTTTAAATTATTTTTTTTTTTTTTAAATATTAAACAAGATAAGACATATAAATATATATCAATATATAAAAAAAAAGAAATCAAAATACTAAAACATTTTTCAAAATATTATATCATTTGAAAAGCTTATCTAAAAATATTAAATCCTTGGTTATATCAGGCATTGGTTAATTTGGTCTGAAATTTCCAATCCCCTTTCTAATTATCCCTAATTTTTGCTTCAACAAATAAACCACTAAAGGTGGAACAACATCTGGTGTATGTATAGATTTATTTTTCTTTTGTTAGTAGGCTGATTATAGTCAGCTTATTTCTCCTAAACTGGATTTTTGAGAGCCAATTACCCTATAATTAAAAGGAAATGTAACAATTTATACATTATTGTCTGCAAACAAAACATATGGTAATGGGGACATAATATTTAATATTGTTTTGTATTTTTTTTTTTTTTATTGGGGGAGAGGGGTTATTTATTTTTTTTGCACTCAAAAATAGTTACAAATGCATTCAGGCAGACTTTAGAAAATGCTATAGAGCTTGCAAATTAATTTTTATCCCTCAATATTGTTTTAAAGCATTGGGAGGCTAATGCGCATGTGTGACAAAATGCTGCACTGCGCCAAACAGCATCTCCTCATAGAGATGCATGGAATCAATGTACCTCTGTAGGGAGCATGCAGAGTGTGCAGAGAGTGAAGACGCTGAACGCCAGAACTGACCCAGGAAGCACGTCTAATGGCCGAGTGATTTCCACTGGAGGTGTCCCTAGGGAGCAATGTAAAAACTGCCTTTTCCCTGAAAAGGCATTGTTTACATTAAAATGCCCATAGGGACATACTATACAAACCAGAACAACTACATTTTGAACCTTAGGTTTTAGACACTTATTAGGCAGTCTCTTTAGTAACTGGCTCCCTATGTCTACTCTGGAAGGTGTATAATGACTACTCCTCTTCCCACCTGTCTTGTTGTGTGTTTCTTTAGGATTATTAAAAGGTAGGGACCCCCTCCCTTCCCCCTTTCCCCCTTCTTCCCCCTTTCTATATTACTCTCCTATTTTGGACTCTTGTGGTCCTACTTGTTCGCTTTAAGTTTTTCTATTTGAGGGTTATTCCCTAATTTGGGAGAGTATTTTCAGGACTTACTAGCACTAATTCATCGGTCGTAGTTACGACCCCTGAATCAGAGCCATCATTCTTTATTTGTTACATTGAGCTATAGTTGTTCTGGTGACTATAGTGTCCCTTTAAAATTGAAATTTACTCTGAATATACTTTTATCTCCTGAGGATTTTCACTTTAGTGAATTAACAAAGAGTCAAAAAATGTTTACTTACAGGACTATTCACTAATTCATAATTGTCAGGAATTAAAATGAATTTTAAATTTGAGACCAAAATTACTGAACTGGAAGGACATCAAACTGATATAATTTTTCCAATTCAGATATTTTATATTAAATTTGACAATTCTCACCTTAGTAAATAACCCTTTAGATACATTGATTGCTGCGTTTGGCACAGTTAAAACTGCAAAGGTGGAGACGATGTAAGCAGATGTCCCCAAATTAAACTAGTGCATTGTGGGATACCATATACATCATTTGGATACCATGTACATCATTTGGATACCATGTACATCATTTCCTTCTAATGGATGTTTGTGCATAACACATTTATTTATATATTTTTTTTATTTATTTGTTTGTTTTAGTTTATTTTACTTAATAAGAAAAAAGGTAGGTAGGTTGTACTGAGAAGGGCTACTAAATTGGTTCATGGATTGTAGGATAAAACCTTCCAGGAAAGGTTAAAGGATCTTAACATGTATAGCTTGGAGGAAAGACGAGACAGGGGGGATATGATAGAAATATTTAACCCCTTAAGGACCAAACTTCTGGAATAAAAGGGAATCATGACATGACACACATGTCATGTGTCTTTAAGGGGTTAAATACATAAAGGGAATCAACACAGTAAAGGAGGAGACTATGTTTAAAAGAAGAAAAACTACCACAACAAGAGGACATAGTCTTAAATTAGAGGGACAAAGGTTTAAAAATAATATCAGGAAGTATTACTTTACTGAGAGGGTAGTGGATGCATGGAAAAGCCTTCCAGCTGAAGTGGTAGAGGTTAAGACAGTGAGGGTGTTTAATCATGCGTGGGATAGGCATAAGGCTATCCTACATATAAAAGCCTAATGCAAGTATTAAGAAAATCGCGCAGACTAGATGGGCCGAATGGTTCTTATCTGCCGTCACATTCTATGTTTCTCAAATTCTGTTTCACATGAGATACTGAATTTAATCCGTTTTGACGCTTGCACGTGTAGTTAGAGAGCACCAAACTCCATTAGTACCAAAGTACAGATGTAATGACTCTAACTTTACTAAGCAGCAATTATATTACTTACCTTCATGTGAATTTTCTTTTCATAGTGTAGTGTAGTGTTGAATTTTAAATTCATGCTGTTTGCTACATATTTGATTTTTTTTTATTTCTAAAAAGAACTGGGATAGTAGTTGAAATTATTAAAATTCATAGGATGGCACTGCTATGCGTACTGTAAGAAATAAGAATAAATCACCTAAGGTACACCAGCACTAAATCCACTAGAGGGGGTTGTTATGATTTTTCAACAATTACATTCTATTTTATTCCGAAATTTTAGCTTCCAATATTCTGTATGGGTACAAAGAACGGAGAAGAAATAGCATTAATCGCAACTTTGTGGGAGACTACTTGGGTATGGAGGATAAGCCGGAGCTCCGTCAGTTCATGACAAAACGTGAAAGAATAGACTTTGCTGATTCCGTTAATAAATATGACCGAAGGTTCAAGGTAAGAAATTACTTAGTGCAAGAGATGAGTAATTGCATTATCAACTGAAATGTCATTCTAGACATTTACCCTCCACACACTCATGGGTTATTCACTTAAACGAGAGTTGCCAGGAAATTAAAGTGAATTTAAAATGAGTTTCAATATTTAGACCAAAAAAGCCAAAATGAAAGCATAGTCAACTTGGAGAATTTTTCCAATTCAATTATTTTGGCCTAGAAATTGGAAATCACTATGGATTCCCAACAATTGTTACTTTGGTAAATAACGCTGTATGTGTGTTCACTAAGCACCATATTTAGTAAAGGGAATTTGGCCACGTTGATTTCGCACATTTAATTACAATTCAGCTGATAAAATTCCTCTGCTGTTCACTGTGTAATTTATTGGCATAACTGAAACTGTATTGAGCCGAATGGGACCCTGCTATTTTTATGTCATATATTGTCACACACATTGTGTAAAATAGTGAGATTCGGTTAAAAATGTATCCAATACTAATTATCAGCCAAAAAACAAAAACAAAGATGCTGTAAGTTAAAAGCCGGGATAAATACATTTTAAGTTTATAGAGGGGGAGGATTGTGTTGGAGTGAATTAGGGTTAGTTCGGTTTATGGATCCACTTCCCCTGGTCTGTATCAAAGGAATTGGATTGATTGAATTCAAGGAACACTATTGCTAGGAATACAAAGTTATATTCCTAACATTATAGTGTCCATCTGACCCCACCCCAGCACTGAAAGGATTAAATAAACCCTTTAAACACTCATCTTACTCCAGCGCCATGGTCCCTTGGCGTTGGCTTCGTTTCCAATTTGTCATTGCAAGGTGGACTCTAATGCGCATGCACGACTTTAATTAATGCTTTCCTATGGGGATTTTCAAGACGCTGGACGATCTTTATTCGGAACAAATTTTTTGAGCACACAAGTGATAAAAGCAAAAAAAAAAGAATTTACAGAAATGAAACATTTCAGTACACTTCTGCAAGCATAACACAGATCAATACTTTAGATTAGAACAACAAAGAGTACATTAAGACCTTGGTTTCAGTACCAATTGATCCATTGTTGGGCAACAAATGTTTCTTGTGTTATATGAATACAAGACTAACAAGTGTCGTACTAATCATTAAATAGAAAGAAAGAATGAGAAGGGAAGGGTAGCAGAAGAGGAGGGAAGAGCAGAGGGCTTATTTGAAAACCAACAAACACCACATTTGTATTACATTTGATGTTGAATTACTTAATTTAGATATACTACTAGACACCAATGATTCTCTGCTCTTGTAATGATCTTGTTTTAATTAAAAGAATCCTTTACTAATCAAACAGGTCATAAAGAGGGATCTTGTACTCAGTCCCAAATACATTTATTTAATTGGACGTGAGAAAGTGAAGAAAGGACCGGAGAAGGGTCAGATCAAAGAAGTATTAAAAAAGAAGGTCGAGATTCAGTCTGTGCAAAGTATTTCACTCAGGTGAGCTAAGATATATTTTTGGTAACACAAACCAAAATGAAGTGCAAAGTTGCTGATACCCGAAGGAATCTACTTCTTCTTGTTAGGAGTTTCCAGTATTCGGTTAGTGGCTCGTAAAGCTGACTGACATCATAGTTGACTATAAGTACAGATTAAAAAGCGTTATAGAGTACACAGCAGTGTTAATTTTGTTGACTAACAATTTTAGTCAAATGTTAGTCGGCTAAACTTTTTGAGATTTAGTCGACTAACACTAAAACAATTCAGGATGACTAAACTATGACTAAAACTAAAATGGCTTTTTAGTCAAAAGACTATGACTAAAACTAAATTGAAATTTGCTCCCAAAATTAACACTGGAACACAGATCAGGGGCTCCAGAGGCAGCATTAGCCCTGCCGTGAAAAGATTAAACTGGATTGTGATTTCGGTTTTTAAATTTTAATATATGTTATATGTATATATAAAAGACAATGAAGCATCACTTGAGAAAAGATTAACACACGAAATGGGTCATTTTTAAATGTTTATTCAGTGCTGTGATTTCCACAGCTATGACAGTTCCCCTTTAAAATACAATGTTGATGAAGTATCAGGTCTGTCCTCTTCCAACCTGCTCTCGTTTTATCCTTACACAGCACCCGCCAGGACGACTTCTTCATCTTGCATGAGTCAGAGAACGATACTCTTCTGGAGTCAATATTTAAAACAGAACTTCTTAGTCTAATATGCAAACGCTATGAAGAAATGACGAAGAGTACACTGTCTCTGCACTTTGCTGACACGTAAGTTACTGTAGAAGGGAAATGTTGACAGAAGTGTGTATTCTACCATCTTTCCCTGAAAATAAGACCAGGTCTTATATTAATTTCCTCCCCCCCCCCCCCGAATAGTGCACTAGGGATTATTTTCAGGGGAGGTGTTATTTCAGGGAAAAATGTGGGTTAGAAAGGGAAAAATGTGTGCTAGAAAGCAGGTCTATGTTCGGGGGAATTCCTGCAGACATAGACCAGTTCACTAGGGCATGGAATCCTGCAAATCTATGTTCATGGAAGCTAGACATGTGCAATTCGTTTCATTCTGAATGTCAATTCGGACTAATTTCGGGCAATTCGGACATTCGGATACTTCCGAATGTCCGAATAGCTGAATTGCCGAAGTTCGGAAATTTCCGAAGTGCCGAAATTCCGAAGTGTCGAAGTGCTGAAGCTCCGAAGCACAGTATTGCCGAAGTACTAATATACCTACCAAGTGGAAGAATGAAGAATGTTACACTGTATACAAGTTTAAATAAAAAGTATACAAACATAGCCAGGATTCAGCTGAAAGCATTTGCAACACTTACAACAATCAAATAACAAATATTCATATAAAATGTAAGTTACTTAGCCAGTCAATGGAATTACAGGAATGAATAAGTAGATAACTCCCTAATTCCCACGGTATTAGGGAGCTATCTATTAAAAGGCTGAAAGACCTAAATTGGTCTTTCAGCCAAATTTACTAATACTAAGTAAAGATTACTTAGTATTAGTAAATTATGCCCCTACTCGCTATAGCGTGAGTAGGGGGATGTCTATTAAACAGTGAGCAGCCTGTGTCTGCTCACTGTAAAACAAAAAAGCGGCGGGTGGGGGCCCTAAATACCAATAAGGGGGGACCTTTTCCCCCCCCCAGGCTCCCACCCCTGAGCGGTGGGTGGGGGCCCTAAATTAGAATAAGGGGGGACCTATTGTCCTCCCCTCTGGCCCCTACCCCTGAGCGGTGGGTGGGGGCCCTAAATACCAATAAGGGGGGGACCAGGGGGCCATGGGGAGGACAATAGGTCCCCCCCTTATTGGTATTTAGGGCCCCCACCCACCGCTCAGGAATGGGGGTAGGGGAGGACAATAGATTCCCCCACCTTATTGGTATTTAGGGCCCCCACCCACCGCTCAGGGGTGGGGGGCCAAAAGGGAGGACAATAGGTACCCCCCCAATTCTAATTTAAGGGCCCCCACCCACCGCTCAGGGCTGGAGGCCAGGGGGAGGACAATAGGTCCCCCCTTATTCTAATTTAGGGCCCCCACCCACCGCTCAGGGGTGGTGGCCAGGGGGAGGACAATAGGTCCCCCCCTTATTGGTATTTAGGGCCCCCACCCACCGCTCAGGGGTGGGGGCCAGGGGGGAGGACAATAGGTACCCCCCAATTCTAATTTAAGGGCCCCCACCCACCGCTCAGGGGTGGGAGCCAGGGGGGAGGACAATAGGTCCCCCCATTGGTATCTAGGGCCCCCACCTGCCGCTCAGGGGTGGGGGTCGGAGGGAGAGGACAATAGGTCCCACCCCTTATTCCAACTTAGGGCCCCCACCCGCCACTCAGGGGTGGGGACTGGGGGGAGGACAATAAGTCCCCCCTTATTCTAATTTAGGGCCCCCACCCACCGCTCATAGGTGGGGGCCCGGGAGAGGACAATAGGTCCCCCCATTATTTTACTTTAGGGCCCCCACCCGCCGCTCATGAGTGGGGGCCGGGGAGAGGACTATAGATCCCCCCATTATTTTACTTTAGGGCCCCCACCCGCCGCTCAGGCAATAGGTCCCCCTTTCAGATTATAAGCCCCCACTCATCCGGCACGGATGGGGGCTCAGAAGGGGGGAATCGATTTTTTTTTTTTTACAGTGACAACCACAGCCTGCTCACTGTTTAATAGACATGCCCCTAGCGAGTAGGGGCAGAATTTACTAATACTCAGTAATTTTTACTTAGTATTAGTAAATTTGGCTGAAAGACCAATTTAGGTCTTTCAGCCTTTTGGTAGATAACTCCCTAATACCATGGGAATTAGCGAGTTATCTGCTAAGCGGCTGCAAGAGAAGTGCCGAAGTCCCGAAATTCAGAAATGCCGAAGTGTGGAAGCTCCGAAGTTGCCGAAGATCCTAAGTGTCGATGTGCCGGAGTTACGAATTGCCGAAGTCCCGTATTTCAGAATGCCAAACCAAACCCCAAATTTTCCCCATGCACATCCCTAATGGAAGCTACCCCGAACATACATTAGTTTACTCGCAAATGGAATCTTGCGTATCTATGTTCAGGGAAACTTCCCCGAACATAGATTAGCGAACGACAAGGTTATTTTTGGGTTATGGCTTGTATTAGGAGCATCCTCCGAAAATAAGCTAGGGTTTATTTTCGGGGGTTGTCTTATTTTTGGGGGAAACACGGTAAGAGTGCAGAGTGCATATTCTGAGTCTGATTGTTGATCAGTTTGTTTATTTTATTTCTGCGTTTTCTTTATAAAATTGCATCTTGTATGCAGTCGTGTGGTATGTTATTAGTTATTATTTGCTGCTGTAGACTTTTTTTGTACCTAGGTCCATATTGTCCATTGTCTCTTTAGTTAAATGGTGTATTCTATGTATGGTTTAACCATGTGAGGTATGTAACTGCATTTATCTGGAAGATGGCAGTCAGAGAATTGGATGTATATAATAAACATATGTAGTCTGTTGAGTGCCTTACTGTTTTACTATTTTATTAGACTACAACTCCGGGTGAAGAAAGAAGGCTGGGGAGGTGGCGGAACTCGGGCATTACAAATAACCAGAGGGCAGGGTGATATTGCCCAGCTAAAATCTGGAGGGAAGACATTGCTCATCAGCATTGGTGACGGACTACCTAAAAATTCAAGTAAGGGAAAAATCTAGTAAGACTGCATAAAGGAAAATGAACCTTGAGTTTGACTGAGTTATTCCATTGGGTATTCACATAAAAAACCCTAATCTACAGTAAGTTAGAAGTTAAACTTGGCCTTATTATTTCCTACTCAAAGCACATTAGAAGCTCCAAAGACCAGCTTAAAATAAGAGTTTACACCAATCTCCCAATATACCTCTATTAAAGAGAACAAGTACATAAGGAACACTGTAGTCACCATAACAACTTCATCAAAACAACATGGCAACCTTTGTGATTTCGAGAATGGTTTAACTCCTTCATGTAAGAAAGTGCCCAGGGGCCTCCTGGCACCATAACAACTTGATATGTTGTTATGTTGACCGGAGTATTCCTTTAACGCTACTGTCTAAATACCAATTTACCAGGCAGTTTTATCTAAGTAGGAGCCAACTACACTAATGTTACATTTAACTATTAGTTAGTGTCTTCAGCCTATGCTCAGTCATGACCTAGTAAATTATTCTTAAGGTAGGGCACAATATTGCCTTTTTCCATCTAATGGTCCTTAATGCATTAAACACTGATAAAGTCAAGCCTTGCTACCATGCAAACTGGGCCAATAAAGGGTATGCACTGAGAGAACATTTAGGAAAATAAAAAGCAAAATAGTGTATACTAATGCATGTGCTACTAATGCATGTTTTTTCTCTGTCACTGATTTTATTAAGTGAACACATGATAATTGAGTGACACATTGAGTGTGAGAACTTGAGCACCTAAAGTACACATTATCATTGCCATCTTTTTCCTCCACAGAACCTACCAGAAAAGAGGTTCAACAAAACCGCATGCACAGACCTCCCCCAAATCGACCAGCTCCTGCACCTCCATCAGGTAAGCATGTTTACCAAAACACAGCATATTCATCCCACATCTTTTCCTCCATATTCACTACACTACTCTACATCATTTGTAGATGCCTACAGAAATGGAGCACCTAGTTACTCCACCAAATCCAGGAATCCCACTTACACCCAGGCTAAAAAGCAAGGCAGAGCTCCACCTTCTGCTGCTATCCCTAGGAATCCTGCGCCCAGGAGGAGCCGGGCACCTTCAGACCACAACATGGAATTCCTCAACGTACCAGACCAAGGAGTAGCTGGGTATGAACATATTATATAATCCTTAAATTGCTTAAAGCTTCTATATAATTAATATAGAAAATAAAAATGAATATGATGTTTACAGCACATTCGCTGATCAAACTATGAATTAAACAGGGTTTCGAATCTGTCGATCCTGAATTTATCCAAATTTTGTCCTAAATGCTTAGCGATCTGCTCTATCCAGTTTGCATAGAACATTGTTTCACATTAAAAGAATCCCTAACAGGTGGAGTTCATAGGCATGTGATGTTGGGCCACAACATTAATTGTTCACTGAGGAGAACAAACAAGCCTAAAGGTGTGGAACATCCTGCCATATTGATACAGAGCTTATGTTGACAAGTATGAAGACTGACTTTGTTAACCATTCAAACGTTCCAATTTAAAACACTGATATCTTTCAATCAAAGCTGGATTGTGACTTATCTTAGGCCAGTATATTTACAGTGTCTCATTTTACCTAAAAGGTACACCATAGGGTCCGGAACATAAACGTGTTTTCCTGACCCTATAATGTCTTTTTTTCTAGCGCCATTCAGGTCTGCCGGTGCTAGCCCTGCTTGCAATCTGCCTCTTTGCTGACATCTTCAGAATTTAGGATTTCTGCCAATTCAATGCTTTCCCAGAGGAAAAGCATTGGATTGGCTGAAATCTGCAAGAAGGTGGGATGGGGCAGGGCCAAAAGCAGATTTGGCCAAATAGCACCTCCTAATAGAGATGCATTGAATTAATGCACCTCTATGAGGAAAGTTCAGCATCTCCATACAAAGTTGCAGACTAAGACAGACTAACATGATTGAGCAAAGACTCACACAGAGACACGATAAGTAGGCACTCACATAGACTGATGCACCAAGTCCATGGCAGAAAGACTCACACAGTCTGAAACCCCCTTGCCTTATTTTATCCTGAATATGCTGTGATTTGTTTATTTATCCGCCTGCTGTATGATCCATTTTGTAATGTATCGTACACCCTCAAACACATTTAAAATTATTTACGAGTGGCAACAGAGCTTTCTGTAACTAGTTATCTATGTAATTGCCTGAGTTGCGCATTGCGTATTATCTGCCTACATTTACCGTGCATCCTGTGCCTGTATACTGTGATTCTAGTTTCTGTAATTCTAACAGTCAATCCTACTTTCCTTCTGAGTAATGCTGCAGCACTGATCATTAATAATGGCAGTCCTGTACCTCATTAAAAACAAACAATATGAAAACTCAGAGAAAGGACAAAAGCTTAGAGAAACTCAGTAGCTTGCCCTTCGGTACATCCCCGCTCAGATCTCAAAATAGTTTTTGCTCACTTGTGCCATTACAGAGAGAACATATTCTGAAGCATATCAGACTGATCCCACCCATAAGGGCATTCCAGAACCAAAATGTCGGCATGTTCTCTCTGCACAAGAGATACAGCAACCCGAGATGATAATTTCGGCCTTCTTTCGGCCTTGTCAGTAAGGTGTAGCTGATACACCTCTAGGCAGAGTGAGCACAGGATCTATGTCTGGATTACCCTTTTAACGTTGGGAGAGCAAAGCTAATGCATTGCAACAAATACAAAGAATTAGAAATACAGCTCTGACCATCATTAACTCAAATGGATATTTGTGTTGTTTAACAATAACATTATTAGAAAGACACAAAATTTTGAGACAATTTGTTCCAGTTCTCTAGAAATATACAAGGTGTCTGCTTACTAAGAGAGGCAATGGTGACCTCAATATTTGTCATTTCACCATTAATACATAGTTTTAATATACACCTAAAAATAAAGGTCCACAGACGTCACAACATAGGGTGAAGGCAAAGAAATATACTTATTGGAGATCAAAAAGGACAAAAAAGTTACAATATTTTGGCCTAAAGGCCTTAGTTATGTAGGTTTAATATACAAGTTTGTGGTTGTAAGTATACATATGTCTACAAGCATGTCTACAAGCATGTAAGTATACAAATGTCTACAAGCATTGATATTGTGTCGTTACACATCCTTCACTGTTTATTTCTCTTAATAGCATACAAAGGAGGAAGAGTGTGGGACAGAGGCCACCACCTGGTGTAGGACGTCCAAAACCCCAGCCAAAACCAGTGGGACCTCGCTGCAGAGCAATCTACCAGTACATTGGACAAGACGTGGATGAGCTTAGCTTCAATGTTAACGAAGTCATTGATATTTTACTGGAAGGTGGGTTGAGATTGCAAGCAATTAGTGAGGCTAATAATTAACTACATTTCCCGAAGTCCCCATTTTGTTAATATAACCTTGAGGAGAAAATGTAAAAACATTTATAACACAAACTAGCACAATTTTAACTGTGTGAACCCACCTATAGTGGAAGCTGACACTGAGAACTGAGATGTACATATACAGGATTATTGATGTGACCTCTCTGTGATGTCATACCATGTGAAAGTATTTTTTATGAAAATGTTACTATGAAGTATTAGATCACAGCATGGGTGGGGAATAGAATGGTGTGGGACCAAGAGACAGGCACAATGTTTGGTATTGTCTTGTTTTTAACAATATTTATTCAATTTCAGATCCAACAGGATGGTGGAAAGGGAGACTTAATGGAAAGGAAGGGTTATTCCCAGGCAATTATGTGCAAAGGATTTGATTTAAAAAGTCTACAGCACCAGAAGCCCATCTAGAATATGAAATATTTTCCTAATTTGAGAAAATGTGTTAAAAAAAATGAAGATACATGATGGAAATATTATTTGCACATGAACAAGTTAAAGGTGCTTTTAAGCCTGAAAATAATAGTTAAAATTTCTCTTTGTTTTGTTTTTTGTTTTCATTTTATTTGTTTATCACAAAAAAAAGTGATTTTCCAAATAAGAATTTTTTATTTTTTTGTAATTGATTAGTTATATTTTATTATGTTTCTGTGAAAACACAGTGTGAACAATATCCATAAACTAAACAATAAAGACAATTGTACAAAATTGTGCTCGTGCTCCTTATAAAATTGTTGTTGGCATACAGAGATTAACAGAATGTAAAGAACAATTCACCAGAAGTGTGAAGAATAGCAGTGGGCATAAAACTAAACTCAGTAATTAAGAAGCCAAATCCATCAGTAGGGGTTTAGTCAAACCATGTTAAAAGGACACTCCAGATCCCTAAACCACCTTAGCTTGCTGAAGCTGTTCTTAGATATACCCCAATGTAAAAATGGGAGCATGTTTTATAGGGGTTTATCTAGTAAACAGTCTTTTTCTCTTTTCTTTTCTTTGGACAGATGGCCCTTTAGTAATAGATATTAAGTTTCTACTAGCTACTGACGATGTCCCAAAACCTCTGGCTTGGAAAGACCTTGCTGATGCGGCATAACAAGTTTTGGATTGTTGCTGTGCCTGGTCTTGTCATGGTGTAGGAGTTTTGACATTAAAGGATCACTATAGTGTCAGGAAATCAAAGCAGTTTTCCTGACACTATAGTGCCCTAAGGGTGCTCCCACACTCAGGGTCCCCCTCCCCTGGCGCTGAAGTAGTTAAAAAACCCTTCAGCCACTTACCTTTATCCAGCGCCGGGCTCCCTCGGCGCTGGTGACTTCTCCTCCCCCGCCGACGTCAGTTCCCAAGTGGAGCGGAATGCTTTCCTATGGACGTTCTGCACGTTGGATGTGAATTTCGCATCCAGCGTTGCAGATGCGCCTCTAGCAGCTGTCAGGAAGACAGCAACTAGAGGCTGGATTAACCCTGCTATGTAAACATAGCAGTTTCTTTGAAACTGCTATGTTTACATCTGAAGGGTTAAAACCTGAGGGACCCGGCACCCACACCACTTCATTGAGCTGAAGTGGTCTGGGTGACTATTCAGCAACCTCAACCTGTTAGCAGAGTTTGGCTGTTCCTCAATCAATTTTATTACTGCACTTGTTTGGTATAAATGTTTAATCATGTATGTGACTATATTCCTACAAAGTCTCTGACTTTATACAATTGTACCTAGAAGAATCAATACTGTTTTGAAGGCAAAGGGTAGTCACACCAAACATTCACTTTATGTAGATTTTTCTTCTGCTCACTAACTTGGCATTTCTCCTGTACACAAACTTAGCAGAACACCATTACCCGTACCATCATTCTTTCTGCTTGATGTTATTCTTGACTTTGGTCTCAATTTTTCTCCACACTGAAAACATTTACTGTGTTTTGAGAAGTTACACAACCAAATTAGAAACAAATGGCAGGTCAAGGAGAGAGCAATGGCTTCCTCCGCGAAGCCATGTAAAGTCTGTCTTGCAACAGGGGCTGATGAGTTACCACATCCACTAAGTCCCCAAATGCCTGACGTCATGTTGTGTATATTCATCTATGTATCTGTCTCTGCATTGTATATGTTCCAGTGTCTGTCTAGGTGCGGGTTTTTGTTTGAATGTAGTTGTGTATTTGTTATTTTATGCATATTTAGAAGTGTATCTCTGTTTTGGGGTATGTATATGCCCACTTTTTAAACATTTGAGACAAAATCTCTGTTCAGCCTTAAGCGTTCAGGTTCTAGACCTGTCCCTGTTAGAAACCAGTCCATTTTAAATAGTCAGCTTAATGTAGTTGTTCTGGTGAGTATAATAGTTCCCTTCAGGCTTTTTTTGTAAACACTGCCTTTTCAGAAAAGACACCTCTAAGTGGACACTCCTTAGATGGCCACTGGAGGTGCTTCCTGGGTCACTGCTGCCGAAAAAGCAGCACTAACGTTCAGCGTCCCCACGCTCTGCATGGAGACACTGAATTTTTTTCATAGACATGCATTACTTCAATGCATCTCTATGAGGATGTCTTTATTTGCCAAAACGGCATTTGGCCCCGCCCCATGCCAATTTTAGCCGATCCATATGGGAAAGCATTCAGTTGTCTAAAAATCGTCTGTTTTGATGATGTCACAAAGGGGCGGAGCCAGCCGGCAGAGCTGCTGGTGGAGCTGGAAATAAGGTGAGTTTTAAACTTTTATAGGAGTGCTAAGAGCGGGCGAGCCACCTAAATGGTGGGTTAAACACTATAGGGTCAGGAATACATATTTGTTTTCCTGACCCTATAGTGATCCTTTAAAAAAAAAACACAACTCACAAATTGATGTTGGGTCTATTCATATTACAGGGCCCTGTAGTAGCTCATAAAGTGAAACTTACAATAAATGTATATCAGTTGCAATAAAGGAATGTGGACTGTAGCTCTCATCACTCTCAGTCACATTATCTATATGAGAATAAAAAATGTATAGTTCACAACCTCTTGAAAGCAAATATCCCTTAAACCAAAGTCCCTCCTGAATCCTAAGCAATCTCTAACCTTACATCCCAACAAATTCTAAACAACAAAGTGCCCTAAGATCCCCAAACCAAGCCCACTCTTAACCCTAATCCATCCCTAACTCCAACTTTACTATCCCTAAGCCCTCCATAACCCTAAACTAACTCTCAGCTTATACTAACCCTGTGCCATTAGCAGAGCTCTTCCTAAGTGATGTCACAGATTATGTTGATTGGTTGTGGCTCAACATTGGAGATCAGTCTAAGACATTCACATAGATTTGTGCTGATCTGATTGGTCAGCATTAGGCCGCTAAACTTGGATTCACCTGAGGAGGGGAGCCTTGGGTATCAAATGATATCTGAATATTATTTCTGCTGTCAAGGAAAAAAGTTTTAATTATATTTTGCATCATTAAAGGACCACTATAGTGCCCTGAGGGTGCCCCCACCCTCAGGGTACCCCTCCCGCCGGGCTGGATGGAGAGGAAGGGGTTAAACGTACCTCTTTTTCCAGCGCTGGGCGGGGAGCTCTCCTCCTCCTCTTCTCCTCCTCTTCGGCTGAATGCGCATGCGCGGCAGGAGCTGCGCGCGCATTCAGCCAGTCCATAGGAAAGCATTCACAATGCTTTCCTATGGACGCTGGCGTCTTCTCACTGTGAAAATCACAGTGAGAAACGCGGAATCCCTCTAGTGGCTGTCAATGAGACAGCCACTAGAGGCTGGGTTAACCCTAACATAAACATAGCAGTTTCTCTGAAACTGCTATTTTTATAGAAAAAAGGGTTAACCCTAGATGGACCTGGCACCCAGACCACTTCATTAAGCTGAAGTGGTCTGGGTGCCCATAGTGGTCCTTTAAAGGGTTTAGCTTTGCTTACTATTATAATGCCTTATGTATCCCCACATAACTGAAGAATTCTAAAGAGTTAAATGCAAAGGTTTTACTCTCATGAGCCTGGATTCTATGAACAGAACAATAAAGTACATTGTTTAATTCCAAAATAAGATTAGAAAAAACATCCTTTGTATGGTGACCTTTAAATTATTTTTATTATTATATTTATATAGCGCTAACAAATTACGTAGCGCTTAAATAAATGTACTCTCACCGTTAACACTTTTGTATATGTGGATTGTGCTTGCTGTAAGAGAGATATTTTTTGTAATTTACGTGAAAATGAACATATTGCCTTGTAATGATTGTTATTGCTTTATAAGTATAGTGCCAACATATTCTACAGTAATTGGACATTTAGATTTTATCTTCCCGATAAAACCATCGCTACAGATTTTTTTTATAAGTCTCACCCTTTTTACAAGACACCTGAGTTTATTTAATAACTATGAATGGAGATGTGTTAATCGGGTTTCTAATCATAGTATGTTATTGAAGCTAATTAATCAATCAAGGCAGCAATTTGGCTGTATAGTGAGGAACTGTTCCTAATTCTAATCCAAAATCCAAGCTGACTCCATGATGAATGCGGGAAACAATGTGACCAGGTCACTGGGTAATACCGGTATAATAGGTGGAAATATTAACACCAAAATCTTGGATCCATGCAAGCATGAGCGGCAAGTAAACTTTGTATCAGTTTAGCTAATAAAAGGTGTTTTAGGTTACCATGAAACAAAACAAAAAAAAGCTATGTGATAGATACAATGTGTAGTTTGGCATACCTCCCAAGTGTCCCTATTTAAGAGGAATAGGCCCTACTTTGGACCCAAAGTCGTCTGTCATCTATTTTAATGTCCCTCTTTTCTAGGAGCTCCATAATGTTGGTGTATTTGCGTGTATAGCAGAGCTCCAAAGCAATAATACTCACAGTAATGTGTATTTAAACTATTATAAATGTGTTTAGAAATCAGTCTGTGTAAAAAAGATGCACGATCTTGTTCTAACTTAAATGGTAACTATAGTACTAGGAAAATAAAGTTGGTGCTGAAGGGGCTAAATAGAAACCTTTATCACGTACCTGATTCCAGTGCCGATGTCCCCCATAGGAAAGCATAGTATAATGCTTTCCTATGGACTTTTGGGTCACGCTGTATGTTGCCTAACCACCCGGAAGTCCCTCTAGTGGCTGGGTAGTACCCAGCCACTAGAGGTGGAGTTAATCCTGCATGGTAATTATTGCAGTTTATCAATAATTACAATTGCAGCGGGTTAAGGGGCCTGGGACACTGCATCCAGACCACTTCAATGAGCTGAAGTAGTCTGGGTGCCTATAGTGTCCCTTTAAATTTTAGATGCATTAATTGTTAATAGTAAGGCTCCTAAACATTCTTAGAACAGCCCACCCCTGGCCACACCCCCAGTTACATCTCTAAAATAAGTGCCCCTCTTTGTCCATTTGAAATGTTGGGGGCTATAGATTAGGTTAATAATTAGCTGAGCGGATGGTTTTTGTTTTTTTAAAATAATAATTTTTAAGTTTCCAAACATGATAACTTCTACTCCATAAGTCATCCACACTTAGCACAGATGGACCAGTCAATGGTTTTCCTGGGGCAGTTTTTGATAGGAATGCATATCACCTGTGATCATATACTGGAAACCTTTTAATAAGAACCTCTCGTGAGGAGTGTGTTTGAAAACCCTTAACTGCCAGTTATGCTGCAGGCCTCTTCCAGAAATATT